GGCCAGTTTTCCAGTTTTCCGGCGAAAAACACGGCGGGCCGAAAAAAAATTGCGGCCCGAACGTCGCCGAGCCGAAAAAAATTTGTGGCCGGGACGACGGCCGGCCGAAAAATTCTTTCGGCCCGGCGACGCCACGGCCGCAAATTTTTTTCGGCCGGTCGCCGAACGCGCCGGCCAAAAATTTTCCGGCGGCGTGTTCGTCGGCCGGCCGAAAAAAATTTGCGGCCGGAGCGACGTCGGGCCGAAAGAATTTTTTTCGGCCGGTCGCCGAACACGCCGGCCAAAAATTTTCCGGCGGCGTGTTCGTCGGCCGGCCGAAAAAAATTTGCGCCCTTGGCGTCGCCGGGCCGAAAGAATTTTTCGGCCGGCCGTCGTCCTGGCCACAAATTTTTTTCGGCTCGGCGACGTTCGGGCCGCAATTTTTTTTCGGCCCGCCGTGTTTTTCGCCGGAAAACTGGAAAACTGGCCGGAAAAAGTAAACTTACTTGTTTTCCGACGATTGAGGGCGACGGGAGGTTAGCCGACGACGGAAGAACGGTGCCGGCGACCGACGATTGACTTGCCTCGCGCCCGATCTTGGTCCAATCGACCCCGAACTCGCTAGAAATCCATAATGAAATTCATAAGTTCATAATGACACTAGGGTCATTAAAAATACAACTAGAAAAACAACAACATATAAATAGAGCATTGCAACACGACACACGATTTACACAGCGAGACCCCCGATTACCAGTCGTAGCGGCTAATAGTCCGATTCAAGTCACATCAACAAAGGGTTTAGGGTTCAGGGTTCACTTAGGGTTTAGGGTTTGAAACACATGGTTCGTGTAGCACTTTGCCCACATTGTCTGATGGTTAGTGATGATTCATGGATGCGTGTACGCATTATATGTCGAGGATAGGCTTTCCCGATGATTTTCCGACGACTTTTCCGGCGAGCGTTGAATTTTTCTGATTCAATACGTTCTCTGAAAGTTGGATATGTTGTAGATTGTGAAACTCCTTAACCAAAGATGTATATATATACATTTTTTTTCATCGATGATTTTCCGGCGACTTTTCCGGCGAGCGTTGAATTTTTCTGATTAAATACGTTCTCTGAAAGTTGGATATGTTGTAGATTGTGAAACTCCTTAACCAAAGATGCATATATATACTTTTTTTTTTTTGGTTGGCGGCAAATAGCAATTTGGTTGGCGGCAAATAGCAAGCCCCAATTATAATGGATTATATTTTATGAAGGAGGCTTGATTGATTACTATATAATCGGTGTTCTAGTGGGGATGGTTCGACAAATACGAGACATACATGATTTGCTTGCTTCAACACAAGCAAAGGAACTTTAAGAATTTATAAGATTATCGGTGTTGTAGTGGTGTTGTTTTAAAAGTAATTAACCATGATTCATCCATGATTAAGAGACATTGACCCAAATTCTCGCTTGGATCAGCTGCAGAAAATCACTCCCAAACCCCATGGGAAGGAAGACCCTATCACTCATTATTCCAAGGGAGAGGAAGACATTTCTTCTCTGTAAGCTAGGGATTCAAAAGTCGAGTCCCGACACTGACTGATTATGACTCCAACCCCGATCGATTCCCACTTGGATCCGTTGCAGTAAAACGTTGCTTAGAAGCGTAAAGCATTATGCGTTCCATGTTCTTCTGAGGAGCGGATTTGGAAATTCGATTCCGATGATGACTCTGACATTAGGGATGACAATTGCACCTGAATCTATGTGGGAAGTTCAGCAGCACGGTGTTGAGTGGGCTGATCAAGTTCAATGAGAGGAGAGGAGCTGATCCCTTGAAACAATGCCAGATTTTTATCATCTTCATCATCAGTTTAGTTTCTTACTACATACTTTCACTACTCCATGAATATATTATTCCATTATCCATAATCCATCATGCATTATCATTAACCTTCATTCTATTTTCAATGATAAATAAATAGTTGATATTTTGTTATTGGGCATTCATCCTAAAGCATTAATCATCAAAACTAGGGATCGCACAAACAAATCCACCATCTCGCGCGTGTATCCGACCTAGTTAATACGGGAAATCCCATATTGACCGGGTATGGCTATAACTTGCAAAAAGTTTGATGGAGATGGAACGGGTATGGTTTTAGACTTTCATGTCCCATACCGATACTCATACTCAACTCACCAAGAGTATTTCTTCGTATATAATATTATGGGTTAATACCTTATTTTGGCCCGAACTATGACCATATAATCAACTTTGGCCCGTGGTTTCAGAAATTAACATCCTTGCCTCAACTATGCAGCATATAGACTCAATTGGCCCAACACATGGTTTGACCGTTAATTTGGACAGTCAACACCGTTGACCATTAGTCAACACCATTGACCGTTAGTCAACACGCCATGTCATTGCTTCGTCACCTTAAAAATCATTAAAAAATTCAAATTCAAATTATTTTCTAATTTCTATTATTTTTCATTTTCAAATTAACCAAAAATAAAATTTAAAATAATTTGATAATTTTTGGTTAATTTTTAACATTTATCATTTCCAAAACAATAAAAAAAATAAAAACTATTTATATTTTTATTTAATTTGATAATGATAAATAATAGAAATTAGGAAAATCATTTGAATTAAAAAATTTTAATGATTTTTAGACTGACGAGGCAATGACATGGTGTGTTGACTAACGATCAATTGTGTTGGCTGTCCAAATTAACAGTCAAACCATGTGTCGGGCCAATTGAGTCTATATATTGCATAGTTGAGGCCAGGATGTTAATTTCTGAAACCACGGGTCAAAGTTGATTATATGATCATAGTTCGGGCCAAAATAAGGTATTAACCCTAATATTACAGATGTAATTGAGGATAATTCGAAAATAAAGAGTTGAAATGTAATTGTGGGGCCACTCAAAACCAAACACTAATTTCTTTCCCTTCATTCACCCTTTCACTTCTTTCGCCTTGTTAACAAGATTATGTTAGTTATTTATTGCTAGTAAATGTGCGAGAGTCAGATATGAATGATTTGGATAGCATTATATTTATATGGATTAATGGATGTTTAGGATTGGATGCTCTGATTTCGCATTAAGAATGATTGTAGTTTTGTTTATTTCATTTAGGTTATACGCCAGCTTCTCCCCACTCCCAGCCTGCCTCTGCTTGTCCATTCTCCATTACCAATTGATTCACCCACCCCTCTGTTTCACGGCGACGAGAGCAGGGGTGGATGATGTTCGTGTTACCAACGCTCATAATCTCAGGGTTACTCGAACACTGGCGTATAACCTCCTCCGTTACTACTTGAAGGCTAAAGCAAGCTTCTTGCCTCGATTTAGACTTCTCATCTGTTCCTTTGAATGCATCAACAGCCCAAGCTAGTTCCACATCTCACTCTGACAGGCTGGACAGTGAAAGATGGATTTTGAAATTGCACAATCAAAGAACCCTGGAGGCCGCTACGTGCAGTCTGAGAAGATAAAAGAACCCGTGATCAAAATACAATCTAGGATCATAAGCCAAAATTAGGATGCACTGGGATTGAACAAGAGGGCGACGTTGGAGTAGCTTTTGCCAGATCCAAGACTATGCTTTGCTTCTAATCTATGCGACCAGAAACTCCTCTTCAACCATTAAGCAATCAATAATCCACGCACTACCAAAGAGACCCCTGCTGAAATGGCCCAAATATGTCTAACCACGCAAATCCTCTTACAATTCATACAAGCTAGGTAAATAATACAGGGTAGACACGAGCTAGTCTTCCATCACCATCTGCTTCTTAAGACGATGCCCTGAGGATGTGATCCTCGGATGATCGAATAGTTAAATTCCCTCAACTGGCTGGCATTCCACTTTTGGTCCAGCAATTAAACCAGCCACAACATGAATGGGAATAGGAAAGAAAACAAGATATTAAGAGAAAACGAAAGAGCAGACATACAGGCAACAGTCTCTGCTCTGCGCCTTATTTTATTAATAATAAAGTTCAGATTACGAGCTAGAGTGTAGTAGCATTGCTACTTCTCAAGTGATTAGAATGGAAACAGAGACATGTATGTATATATATGCTACTTAATATGTTAATAGAGATACAAACAAACGCAGAAAAGAAAGTAACGATTCATAGAAGCATAGGAGTTATTACCAATTATTAGGGAACGGAGTCGTAGCTTTGCTGCTGCTCTGTTGAACCCAACACATGTAACTTCCATCATAAATAACTCCCAACTTCTCATATCTGGGAATTGGAGTAGGCCAGTAAGAGACGCTAGGGTGGAACACAGCCCAATTCCCCAGAAATTCAGCGAAGTACCTTAGCTCTTCTGTCCTGCTATCGTAGGACAGTACAACATCATCCCAAAGACCACCAAGATCCTCGTGTCTTAAGAAGACAATATGTGGCTTCTCTGGATGCAGACCAACTACACTACATTCCTTAAGTTCATAGTTGCACCTTCCTGATGTCCTCCCCAACAAGGTTTTGTACTGTATACTCCAAGACTTGCCATCTTCTTCCAGCCTCCAAATACTCAAAGGTGCAGGTGGAGCTTCAGCTTCAAGAACAATTAGGTGCAAAGCACCTTGTGAGACCGAAATATTCCACTTGCAGCGTGACACTACGAGTGAAAAAGCATTGATACAGGTGGGAGGTATATCGAGACCGAAAGGATTAAACCCAGCAATTATATACGGAATAGAACCACGATTTTCGGCATCCAAACACAGCCAAAGCAACCCGCTGTTGCACAATGAAGAAATTTAGAGGTGGCAAGTGAGATCCATATCCATTTATCCAATCCAATCCAATCCATTTAAAATGGATCCAAATCCATTTAAGTTGATCCAAATCCATTATATCCATATCCATTTGATCCATGGATTGGTGGATTGGATTCATGGATTAATGGATTGATCCACCAATCCATTAACATATATTATTTTCTTTATTCATTTTATAATATATATTCTAATATGAAGAAAAAAACCTGCTCTTAGACTTTCAGTACTGTCGAGTGTCGACTCCTACATCCTACTCCAAATATTCTCTCCGATCCCACAAAAAAAAAAAATTTCTCTCCGACGAGGCGACGACGAAGAGCAGAGCCGGCGATCTCTCCACCGCCTGCTCTCCATGTCCAAATCCACCCTGCCGCCGTCCCAATCGACCTCTCCACCGCCTGCTCTCCCCTGAGTCTGAATCGGATCCAACGTCGCAACTCCCATCTTGCGAATCGACCCTCCTCCAGCGCCGGTGAAATCTCCGCCGCCTGGCTCTTCTAGAACCCATCCTGCGAATCGAACTCTCCACCAGCGCCGACGAAATCTCCACTGCTTGGCTCTTCCATTTGAGAACCCATCTGCGAAATCGACCCTTCTGCAGATAATGAAGATGGCTCCTCCTGCTGATCGAGATGACTATGGAGTTTGGCCTTGATTTTCCCTCCAAGCGTCTGAGAGGTGAGGCTCCTCTTTAGGTTTCAATTGCTTCTTTAGTTGCTTGCTTGTGCTGCCTTATTGAAGATGATTAGATGATCCAACCCTCGTTTCAATATGTGCTCTGTTTAGGGATTTATGGTTGTTGATTTGTGTTTTTTCTTAACAAGCTCTCTGATCTGTTTAGGGATTTATAGTTGCTACCTAGTGAAAGTATGCAACTGGTAGTCTACCTGTTCGATTCTCTGTGTTGAATCTGTTGGCTGAAAAACATTGATCGGTCGCTAATCTGATGGACCCTTCTTGCGGATAAAGTCATATGTCGTTCTTGTTAGAATTTCCCCCCTCCATTATAGAGCTTTCATACCTGCTTGGTTTGTGTTTAAGTGGTACGCATTTTACTTTCTTTCCAAGCACTGACGGCATACTTATCAGTGTGCTCAAGGTTGAGCTTGACTGGTTTCTGTTGTATTCATCTCATTTTAGTTACATTTGGTTGAGCTTGACTGGTTGCTGTTGTATGATTCTTGGCCATTGTTTCTGATAGAGACTTGAATCTCTTTTCTGTTTTAGCTATTGTGGGCGTGTGATTCTGCTTTGTTTAATGACTAATGAGTAATTGCTATTAATAGTTCCCCGTAATGTGATTGGGGAGTGTAGATGGAACCCTTTTGAAGTCTGCAAATTTTTAGTCACCCATGAAACGAAATCTTGACTTTGCATTCTTGGTTAACTTGAATTGAGATATTTTGTCCAGGGTAGAAAGATGGAGATTGGTGTTATAAAAATGGTGAGACGTTCTGTTCTTCGGAACTTTTTAAACTCCCCATGAATCATCAAATCAGTGGTTATACATTGTTGTAGGCGTAATCCGAATTTGGTTGTTGTATTTAGAGCCTTTAGAATGGCGCAAGTTTCTTGTGATTTATTTGCTCATAAATGACTATTTTAGCTTTCATGGACGTGGTTATGAAGATGAGTCTATTGCTGAAGATATAGGCTATGAAGATGATATGGATGTAAGTAAATTTACTTTTCTAATTATCTTTATCTTAATGCATTTGTATTACTAAAATGAGTTTTTGTTTCACAGGAGTTCGATTCGTTTGGGGAAAGTCAATTCTTGAGTGATAGGACACAATTAGATGAATATCTGGATTGTAAAAGGCTCAATCGCAAACAACCGTTGGATGTTCTTTTATGGTGGAAGACGAATGAATCTCGATTCCCAGAGCTTGCTTGTGTGGCTAGAGATGTTTTGAGCATTCCTATCACTACTGTAGCTTCAGAGTCGGCCTTCAGTATGGGAGGTAGAGTTCTAAGCAACTTGCGAAGCTCTCTTTTGCCTGAAAATGCCGAAGCTTTGATTACCACACGCAATTGGCTATATGGATTTCCAAGTAAGCTAATTAAGGATATGGTTTATTTGATAATAACTTAATCTAATACAGTTTATTTAGTAACATTTGAATTGCTTGATGAAGGTGATGATCGTGATAATGGGCTCGAGGTGGAAATTTCAAAGGCGGTCGGAACATCCTCAATGACTTCTAGCTCTACTCCTGTGTGAAAATTTGGGTTTTATGCATAAGTCAACGTTTGGTTCTTAATGTTCATGATGTTGGTTTGAAACTACTCGAATGTCATGTTGTTCATCCTTTTTTCTGCTGGTCCTGGACTTGTAGCATCCATATTTGATGGGCTGATATATTTTTTTATTGTGGATTGTTTGGAGTTTGAAGCCAAAAAGTCTCGAGCTCAATGTTGAAATGAAATGCATGCTATTGAAATAGTTCTATGGAGCATAATGTGAACTCTGACAAGTGGCTTCACCAAATATGAACTGCTTGTCTTGATTCTCCTTGAGTTGTAGTCTTCCTACTGTTGTTGGTCGGCCCTTTCTCTTCAGTAAGGGCAGAGGGAAACTGGGATCTACTTCTGAGGTTGAGTATGTTTGCCTCTACAGCTTTGATCCGGTTATGTTTAATTAGGCCGAGTCTCTGTTAGCTTGGAAATTTGGGTTTTATGGGTGTTTCCTTGTTCCTGTATCATCGCCGGTGTGGTGTTTCCTTGTTCCTCCTCCAAATTGTCTGTTTGTCGTAGGTCTAGGCATCTAGCTTCCTTCATTTGCTCCAAGTTGCAGAAGCTAACATGGTGGAGAAGATTTTGTTCGTAATAGTGGTTATTTTTAGGAAGATGGAAAAGAAACGGAAGAAAGGGAAAAGGCGGATGAGATCTGGTTCTGATTTATTGTTGTGGATCCACGGATCCATTGGATCCGATCCACGAATCCACGAATCCATTGGATTCGATCCACGAATCCATGAATCCATTTGGATCCGATCCACGAATCCACGAATCCGATCCACGAACCCACGAATCCGATCCAATTGCCACCTCTAAAGAAATTCCATTGCAAGCCAAAAGTTGATAATGCTCATCAAGAACAAGAGCCTCCTTCGTGCACTCTCCAGACTCCGAACAAAACACGTCTACTCTAGTACTCTTCATCATTTGATAAATACACAACACCCGGAACCGATAAGCAGAGCAATAAACTAATGGTGGTCGACCTTCTCCCAGATCAAGTTCAACATTTGAGCTACAGGTAAGGGGTTCACAGACTAACCTTGCAACAAAAGATCCAATCCTAGACGAGGACGCGATTTCAGGCGCCAAAGGAAGGGCGACCCACTGCTTCGTAAACGGATTGCAGACGAAGAGAGACCTGGAAAATTCGGAGTGGATTCTGGGCGTCTCCTGAAACCCGCACAAAACCAAGTCCTTGAAGGAATCGAAAATTCGGAAGTACCATCGATCAGCTAATTCATCGGGCACGGGGAGGAAGCTCAAGATGGCTTCCCCACTGTCTATGGCCATCAGAGGAGGTTCGTCGACGCTCCAGATGCTCTCGTGGTGGGAAACGAAACGGCGAACGAATTGAGGATCGGAGATCAGAGACTTCCATCGCTTGCAGACTGCTTTGCATTGCCAGGCGGATCCAGGTTCCGGGACGCGAATCAGAACTTCTGCTAGGAGATCGTCCCCGAGATTGCTGATCGGAGGAGAAAGGTTCGCTTATTCTGAACCATCGACCAGCCTTCGTTTTCTGGTCGCGCAAGGAAAAATACTTAACCTTAACTCTAGATCCAAAGCCATGGCTGCTGGAGAAGGAGACCGAAATCTGGTTTGTTAAAACTTAAAACTAAAAAGATTTTTGATTTTTCTGTGCATTGCTAATGCTATTGGGCTTCAGACTAGACCGGCCCAAAACCCCCATTGGCCCAATAGAACATTTATTCTGCTAATTCTTTTTCTTTTAGGTTTGCTGATTCCAATCCCTAAAACCAAAATTCCCCCTTTCATTTCCTGTGTAGTTCTCCATGAGGCCTTCAGGCTTGAAATGATTGCCCGCCAACCCACTCTCAAAGCAATCCAACTAATAGCCGAGCAACGGTCAACCGCCGTGGTAAACCCTCAACCACTGAACAATGCACACCAACTGTTCGACAAAAGTCCCCACCGAGCCTGGGCCGACGTCAACCGCTCCATGGTCGAATCCCTTCAACGAAAGGCCTCATCTGAAGCGCTTCAGATCTTCAGGAGTCACTTTCAGCTGGGACGTAGGGGCACTATCAATGAGGTGACCATCGCTCTCTCGCTTAAAGCCTGCAAGGGGGACCCGTTCTGGGGCTCTCAAATCCATGGCATCTCTGTTGCTTCCGGGTTGTGGCCGTGCATCACCGTGGCGAATTCCTTGATGAACTTGTACTGTAAAGCTGGGGACTTTTCCAAGTCCCTTTGTATATTTGAGAGGTTGGCTGACCCTGATACTGTTTCGTGGAACACGGTGCTCTCTGGTTTCAGGAGGAGTGAGGACGCTCTGTGTTTCGCTTGTAGGATGAATTGCTATGGGGTTGTATTTGACCCTGTGACTTATACCACTGCTCTTTCCTTCTGCTCAAGAAACGAGGAATTTCGTTTCGGTTTGCAGTTACATTCGTCTATAGTGAAGTCGGGACTTGATTGTGAAACTTTTGTTGGAAATGCTCTCATATCTATGTATTGTAGATGGGAATGTCTGTCGGAGGCCAGGAGAATGTTCGATGAGATGCCGAGTAAAGATCTGGTTTCGTGGAATGCAATCATCTCGGGGTATAGTCAGGGAGGCATTCAAGGGTTGGAAGCAATATCTATGTTCATTGAAACTATTAGGAGAGGCATCGACCCTGATCATGTCTTACTTACTGGAACAGTTTCGGCTTGTGGTCATGAGAAGAACTTGGAACTCGGGAGACAGATTCATGGGTTTAGCTTGAAAAGAGGATATGGGAAACATGTCTCTGTCGGCAATGTCCTGATCTCAACATATTCCAAGTGTGATCGAGTGGAAGAAGCTGTGTTGGTGTTCCGCAATATGAACGAGCGGAATGTTGTTTCATGGACTACAATGATATCAATAAATGAAAAAGCCGCTGTGGAACTCTTTGATGAGATGAGATTAGACAGCGTCCCGCCTAATCATGTGACGTTTGTTGGTCTTCTCCATGCTGTAACGGTTCATGATTTGGTTGAACAAGGCCAGAAGATTCATGGGGTTTGTCTTAAATTAGGCTTCTCACTAGAACCAAACGTGTGTAACAGCCTCATTACAATGTATGCTAAGTTCAAGTCCACAGATGAGTCGAAGAGAGCTTTCGATGAGCTTGATCACAGGGAGATCATTACATGGAATGCTTTAATCTCGGGGTATGCACAGAATGGCTTGAGTCAAGCTGCAATCCAGACATTCTTATCAGCAGTCACAGAAGTGAAGCCAAACCAGTACACTTTCGGCAGTGTCTTGAGCGCAATAGGCGCAGCTGAAGATGTCTCTCTAAGACACGGCAAAAGATGCCACTCTCAGATAATAAAACTCGGGCTCAACACCGACCCAGTCGTCTCTTCAGCTCTCCTCGACATGTACGCAAAGCGAGGAAGCATGTTTGAATCCGAACGAGTCTTCTCCGAGGCTCCTCAGAGGACGCAAGTCTCATGGACGTCAATGATCTCGGCCTATTCAAGGCACGGCGACTACGAATCAGTCATGACCTGGTTCAACCAAATGCTGGCCGAACAGGTAGAACCCGACTCGATCACATTCCTCTCCGTCCTGACAGCTTGTGGGAGAAAGGGAATGATCGATACAGGTCGGAAACTGTTCGACTCGATGGTCCAAGACTACAGAATCGAACCCTCGCCTGAGCATTATTCCTGCATGGTGGACATGTTGGGGCGAGCAGGGAGGCTCGAGGAAGCGGAGGAGATGGTGAACCGGATCCCAGGTGGACCGGGTTTATCAGTGCTCCAAAGCTTGCTCGGTTCTTGCAGGACATATGGGAATGTGGAGTTGGGGGAGAAGGCAGCGGAGGGATTATTGGAGATGGAGAAGAAGGACTCAGGGACTTATGTCCTGATGGCTAACTTGTATGCCGAGAAGGGGCAGTGGGAGAAGGCGTCGAGGTTCAAGAGAGCAATGAGGGAAGAGGGCGTCCTGAAGAAGATCGGGTTCAGTTGGGTTGACGTCGATCATGCTGCCGATGGTTCGTTGGCTTTGCACGGATTCTCGTCAGGGGATATGACGCATCCAATGGCGGAGGAGATTCATGGGTTGGCGGAGTTTGTGGGGTTGGAGATGAAGTTCTTGAGGGAGATGGAGGTGGAGTGGTATGAGAGTGGTGTGAAGTTGGAGTCTGTGGGTTGTATTTGGTGACATGTTTTTTGGTAGTTCCATTGCTGTGGAATTTTTTTGTAGATCGTTGTTTATATTCTAAATAGTCGTAGTTTCTATCAATTTGATTGGAATCTGCAGCTTAAAAGGCTTCATAGAATCAATGCTGATATCCTTGAGGTTTCCAGAAAAACGCAGAAATGGAAACGAGTATTTCATTATGAAATGGGCAAAAAACGCTTCATAGAATCAATGCTGATACGCTTGAGGTTTCCAGAAAAACGCAGAAATGGAAACGAGTATTTCATTATGAAATGGGGCAAAAAAATAACGTGGTCGGCAGGATTCGAACCTGCGCGGGCAAAGCCCACATGATTTCTAGTCATGCCCGATAACCACTCCGGCACGACCACTTACATGTTTTTTATGTTACAGATAATTGTTCATATTCTAATATTTTCCAAGGTACATTGCTTACTTTCCTAGTACATCTACATTGATGCACCAATCAAGATGAGAAGAGAATAAATAGATAGTGCACCACATGCAAATGTAATTTATCAAACTTGGCTATATAGATAGTGCAATCGTGTAAGTATGTAAAAGCTTTTGCCCATTACAATTATAAAATGCATTAAAATAATACCCTAACCAAAACCCAAACAAATTTGGAAGCTAGTTTATAAGGTAAATGCCACATTTGGTCACTGAGATTACTAAATTGTGTCATGTTTAGTCACTAAAAAATTTTAATATTAATTTTGGTCACTCGAATTACTGGAACAGGTCACATTTAGTCACTCTCCCATTAGTTTCTGACCAAAAACTAATGGGAGAGTGACTAAATGTGACATGTTTCAGTAATTCTAGTGACTAAATGTGACATGTTTCAATAATTCGAGTGACTGGAGTTGGACGGAAGCTAACAGGAGAGTGACTAAATGTGACATGTTTAAGTAATTCGAGTGAGCAAAATTGATATTAAAATTTTCTAGTGACTAAACATGTCACGATTTAGTAATATTAGTGACCAAATGTGGCATTTACCCCTAGTTTATACTTGATACAACATGCATTTTCATCTCCAAAACATATACGAATTGATACACTCCAACTTTGTCGCACATTGAACATAATACAACATCTACTTCTACTATGCTATATAATATTGGTGCTTTAATGTACAACTTAAAGTTGTACCATAACATTAAATGTATAAGTTTAGGTTATACCATAAAGCAATTTGTACCATTATGTTATTGTACAACTTTATAACTTAAAGTTGTACCATCACATAAATGTACAAGTTCAAGTTGCACCATAAAAGAATTTGGACAAAAAGTATAGGTACAATCTGAATTTGTACCATAACATAAATGTACACTTTTAAGTAGTACTAAAAGTACCATAAAGGCAAAACCTATAGTACCAATAAAATTTCTCCTAATACATACCCTTACATCCATCACATACCCAGTATTTTTTACATCCATCACATACCCAGTATTTTTTAGGGACTGACTGTCCGAGGTTAGAAACCTTCATAGTTCCATTGGGATCCCCTCTATAATCCACAACACACGAACCTACTAAACAATCAGGAAAAATAACTACAAACTTTCAAAAGCAGAGCAAATTCAGAGGAGATTAAAGCTGCGGATTCAGATTGCAAGGATCATAACCAAAACTCAAAATTTCATCATCATAATATTTTAGTAGCGCAGACAACAGCTCACTCTTTAGCATACAAAGCAGTTCCACTTAAGTTCTGGGGAATACATATCAATGTACTTTGCTCACTTTTAAATAACACAAAGAGGATAAGAAAAGTCAAACAACAAAACATGCTTTTGTGTTCCCCCCCCCCCCCCCCCCTAGTGCCACAACTTCATCCAGTCAAAGCCTCACTCCGCGGAGAGACCAAATAAATGATCCAAGAGGCCCATCACACCGATATCTATGAGTAGTTGCTTTCCCTTAGATCAACAGCTTCTCAATGGCATCCTGCATTTCACAAAGAAAGGAATATCAAATTAGAACACTGTATTCATGTCCCAGGCATCTTCAATGAGTAAAGTATAACACTTGTGGTGGAGACACCAAATACCTTGAGCTGCTGTATCTGGGATTTCAGTTGGCTTCCTTCGTTGGTTGTCACGGAACAAGCAATGACTGGTCTCGTGACACCGCAGGCTCTCCCAAGTGCTTGCTTTGAAGGAACAAACACATACGGGACATTCTGAACAAACACAAACATACAGTGGATGTAATAAGTTTCATGCTTGCATTTGAACACTTTTGACTTGGTCGCATGGAAAGCTAATAAAATGTGGATGTATATGAAAGCTGGTGTTATAAAAGAACTGCACAACCAGAGATATAGTTCAGCTCCTCCAGATTTCTGACCGTTTGCAACCTCAAGCAGAATTACAATTTACAAAGATGCACTGGCAAATCTTACAAATGGGGATTTTTGCATACTCTTTTGTTTGATAGAATGCCATAACCCGATGGGATATTGTAACATCTATAAGTAAAAGAATCCGCACTAAAGAGGAAGTAGCAGCACAAGAAAAAATAGGAATAGGGTCCCAGATTAAAAGCCACTTTAGTCATTAAAACCAACCACACTTCCATCTTCTCCAAATAACTGTTCCAAATCCCGAACGGAAGAGCCAGCTCATATCAATTCCAAAACTTAACATATGCATCCTATGCAAGCTTAATAAACTACCAGCTAAAAGACCAAGCAGAACATCACACAAGTTGGTTGAGCCAACTTAGACAAAATCCAAGCAGAAGCACCTATTCAAACAACTCATTCACACGTTGAAAGAAAGCATCAAACAGAGAGAGGAGCTACCTTATCCTCAGCAAGCAACGGAAGGTGCAGAAGAATCTCAAGGGGCTCGGTATCCGCAGCCATGACAACAAACTCAGAGATACCCCTATTCAGTGTCTTGGTAGCTGAACCAAAACGAAACCCAGCTCTTAGCTAAACCCTAAACCACAAATCAAGCTTGAAAAAGTTCCCACTTAATGACAAGTAGTAGCAACCAATACCTTCATTTGCTCCCTTCTTGAGCTGCTTGTAGTTAGCAGCTTGCTGAACCAGGTCGAGAATAGTGATGGAAAGCTGAGCATCAGCCAGCGGGTAGGCTTTCGGATTCACTGCCTCCCCAGTCTGCGAATAAGCATTCAACAACCACAACAACGACAAGCACGAATCAGCAACCGTCGAAACCCTAAAGCCGAAAAAGAACTATGACAAGCAATCGTGTGAAGGAGAAGAAGGAGGGAAGGACGTACCATTTCCTTATGAATCGCAGGGAGCTCGACGAATGGAACTAGCCAACTAGGGTTTTTCAGGCTGGTATTCGGGAGGGTTTAGGATTTGTGTTTCGCAGAAAGCTATCAAATATATAGGCGACGCCGGGTTAGGCGAATTGTGTTCTTCTTTTTTCAGCGATTGAGCAATCAGGGTTTCAGAAATTTTTACCGTTCGCAGCTTAATGTTTAGGGGAATAGTGGGGAAGGTCACTGTACTTTTTTTTTTGTCTACGTTTTCGACTTATTAGATCTTATTAGGGTTAAATGGCTAACTAGTAAGATAACCTGATAAAGAGTAGGTGGTTGTGAGTTGTGACTTCTAAAAGATGCTATCACAATAGAGCTCATTAAACATTGTGGTTATCTCGCGGGTTGTTGCTTGTTATTTACTTTTTTTTTGCGACTATTTGGTTTGTTTTGGATTAGGTGAGGTTGCTATGATTAGGTGCTCATCGTATGAAGATTTGTGGTAAAACAAAAATTATCGATAAGGGCTCAAGCGGAATGATCCATAATCACTACCATAAATTTCACAAATTCACCTGGTTATGGCCTCATAGATGTCAAAAATGGGCTTTCTGTATAAAATTGCTGAAATTAGAAAGTTGCACTATCACCATTGATGTGAAACTATGTATTACCTACTTTGATTTATGGATGATCTACTCATTCATGCATTTATTTGTGTACCGGAGTGCAGGGATATAGAGTGACAAAAAATTTGGATTCTTTGGCATATAGGTTTACCCTTTAAGTGCCACGTTTTTCTTTGTGTTGTGATCAATTTGCAAATTTGAGAGCTTGTTGCTCGGTTCTCAATCCGTACTAGGGGACTCTCCAAGTCATGTACTTAAGGGGTTCCCCTGATCTCCTGTAACTTGGCTGCTAAAGATTAGGAACTCTACTAAACAAACTCAACTCTTGAGGGAGGATGGCCTACATTCCTAGTCGACCAATAAAAGAACGAACCATTAAACCTAACACAACTTCTAATGACCGCTTGTCCTCTACCTTTTACACTCTAGTAACGGGCGCCTCCAAGAAAATGTCATGTTAGGGGTCCATACTCTAGGGGATCCCTTATAGAGCCTGGGTGAATTGGGTCCTATATAGGGATTGGGATTGGGATTGAGAATGATCAATTAGGGATTGATCACTGTGTCACAGAAAAGAGGAAGGGGAAGGGGAATTGTTTGGGGTCGAGAACAGAAGGAAGAGAGGGGAATTGATTTGGGGCCAAGAAAAGAAGAAGGGAAGGGGAATGGTTGCTGCTGTGCAGCCGAGAGAGGAGAGGGAAGGGGGAAGGGGTCGGCCGAGTGAGAGAGGAAATTAGGTTTTAGGGTTTAATCTTTGCTTAATCCCTTAATTCCACGTACAAGTAGTTTATATAAAAAGGCTAATTCCCTACAGCTACCCGATTATTCCCCCCAATTCCCTAATAGTCCAATAATCCGAATAAAAATAATAAAACAACAATAAAGTACTAAAATGCAAGTTCTCATCACCCTCCCCCCCCCCCCCCTTCTTCGAAAAGCAACCTTGTCCCCAAGGTTGTTCCTCCCGCTCACTGACTCTCCTCTTCGCCATTTCCGACGTCCTCAGCGGCATCCTCGGCTTCGTCTTCCCAGCGTCCGATGAGCATCATCAGGTCCGGCTTCGGGCATTGATGGCCAATGGTGAATTGACCATCGCAGTTGAAGCACTTACCCTCCCGCCTCTTTTGTTCGATCTCGGCCGGCGAGATTCGTACAAACCCTTTAGGTATGGCCCGCGGCCCCACTCTGGCCGCTGGTGCCGCATTTCCACCCCCGGTATTAGCTCCGGAGGCATTGCCCGCCGCGGGTCCACCCCCGCTGCCGCCAGCCCCACCGCTGCCACCAGCTCCACTACTCCCACCCCCTCCACTTGGCCTCGGGTACCGGCCAATGGTGCTCCTCCAACTGGCAAGTTCTTCCTCCTTATTACCTGTCCTCACCCGGTTATCTTGCGGGTTGTTGCTTGTTATTTACTTCTTCCTTTTTTTTGCGACTATTTGGGTTGTTTTGGATTGGGTGAGGTTGTGTGCAACTTTTGCTATGTTTAGGTGCTCATCGTATGAAGATTTGTGGTAAAACAAAAATTATCGATAAGGGGCTCAAGCGGAATGATCCATAATCACTACCATAAATTTCACAAATTCATCTGGTTATGGCCTCATAGATGTCATATATGAGCTTTCTGTATAAAATTGCTGAAATTAGCAAGTTGCACTGCCACCATTGATGTAAAACTACGTATTACCTACTTTGATTTATGGATGATCTACTCATTCATACATTTTATTTGTGTACAGGAGTGCAGGGATATAGAGTGACAAAAAATTTGGATTCTTTGGCATACAGATTTACCCTTTAAGTGCCACGTTTTTATTTGTGTTGTGATCAATTTACAAATTCAAGAGTTTGTTGCTCGGTCCTCAATCCGTACTAGGGGACTCTCCAAGTCATGTATTTAAGGGGGTTCCCCTTATCTCCTGTAACTTGGCTGCTAAAGATTGTAAACTCTACTAAACAAACTCCACTCTTGAGGGAGGATGGTCTACATTCCTAGTCGGCCAATAAAAGAACGAACCATTAGACCTAACACAACTTCTAACAACCGCACGTCCTCTACCTTTTACACTCTAGGGATCCCCTAACGCCCAAATGAGTACCTAGTTGAAAGGATGGAGGGAACTCGCATTGCATTGTATTATCTAGTGACAAGGGTGGAGAGTTGTGAATTTTAGAGAATCCGCCACACTTTCTTTAGAGATTTTCATAATATGATTATTTTTTATGAATTTCTTAATGGTATAGGTTTTGATAAAGTTGTGAAGGGCTTCTCCCTATCTCATGGGAGGATATTTTTTCCCCACTTACTTCATCAAAGTTGACAATCGCTAGAGAGGACTTAGCAAAGATTATGGAAGTTCACACACACCTTTTAATCAAAAATTTGGTGAACGAAGAGGGATTCACCCTGCCTCCAAAGAGGATTTGACTAGATGACATGACATGGAGTTCCTTCCCGCCTCCAAACAAGGTTTGATGCCTCGTGAGAGGACTTTGAGGAGGATTTATATATTTTTGTGAACCTGTTGTCTAGGTATGCGGCTCTCAATTCGCTTTAGCATTGTCGATGTGTGAAAGTTCACCAATCACCTATCTTGCGGATGAATTCTTGGAAAGATGAAGCTCAATGGCTTCATTCCTCAAAAAAGTCGAGGATAGTTAAGACAAACCTGCCTTTACGGGGTGGGGGAGATGGATGAGCTACTTCTCATCAACGTGAGAGAGCTAGGGACATTTTTCTCAACACAACAAGACTCTAGGAGGCTTCTCTATTTCTTTGAAGAATTTCAAAGTGAAGTGTCGAATGTGTCTCTTCCAAGTTCTTAGGCTTGGAAAATGATATGGTTTGGAAAGGGTTTGGTGCCCCATTTAATAATTTATAGAGTTTATGAGTCCCTATTGGAGAGATAACGAGCTTGCGTAAACCAAACAACTTAAAGGGAATATTCATTGAGGAAACATATGAAATGGAGGCCTTTGGCTTGTTGAACAAGAAAGCTCTACAATTCATAGTTCAAAGTATTGTTTGTTGAACTAAGCAGGCCAAATCAAGTTGGAGATTGTCCACTCTTACTGTTGCTTTCTTGCAGCTCAATTACAGGAACCTCAAAAGGAAACAGCAGCCTGTCATTAGGAACTTACCTTCTCTGACTCCAACGGCTAGTCTATTGGAGAGACTATATATGCCTGAGTAACTGCTGCTGTTTGAGGTACTTTTGCAGGAGCTATTGTGGTAAAGGGCTTAGCTCTGGAATTACAAAAGGGATTGGCGAAAGGTTGGGGCACATGTTCAACTTTCGCCAAGGCAGAAACATATCGGAGACTTATCTGAGTTTTCATTACCTTCTTCTTATTGCTACATTGATTCTTGCTTTGTGGTTATTTCTGTTCGTGATTTCATAGTTAATAAAAGGCCTCCCAGACCATATTCTGGGACGTGGAAGTAGACCATTGCACAAGGGCGAACCACGTTAAAAATGTTCTGTGTTCGTTAAGCTTCTCTGCTCTTTACCTTCTGCAATTCGAGTGTTTAGCTTGAGGAACTCTGTTCCTTGCTCTGTTTCGGTTGAGGAGCAGCAGAGTCTGGTGACTCGTGCTTGATAGAAAGAAAAGCTGGGCTTGAAGCCCATTACCTTTAAAACTCAACCAAAGCAGATTCTCTAAAATTGTTTTACTCGGGCCCGTTCTTTTCGGCCCACTTTATCAGAGTACAAAAACAAGAGTCATCTTCCTTTCCTTTGACTCTCGAACTACTCTCTGAAATCGGGTGTTCTTCTTGAACCCTAATTCCCAAATCGATCTCAAACCTTCTCTACATTGTTCTGTTGAGTTGATAAGCTCTCTGCTCTCATAGGAAGCCATTGAGCTTTCGATCATAATTAGTCAAGTATAATCATAATTCATAAAGAGTATCTGCACAATTTTGTGCCAGATAGTTTTGCAAGATGACTTTTGAAGGGGGATCCTTGGTGGTTATTGACAAGATCCTTCGTGCGGATGCCAGGGACAGTAGGATAGGATCCATTCTTGACGAGGTCATTCAAATGTTTAGAATGAATGTGGGTTTTGATTTATGATTTGTAGGGCGGGATAACAATAGGGTAACTCATTTGGTGGCTAGAAAGGCCCTTTCTTTGTTCCCGACTACTTGTCGCTTTTATTTTTTATTTTCAGGCCTGGCTTAACTCTAGGATGTAAGTGCCTATGTTTCTGATCAATATACGATTATCTTTTGTATAAAAATAAAATAAAATTGCAAGCCACTCTAATTAACTTCCGGCGGAGCTTTCACTCCAAAGCCATTGGAAACCGAAGTAAAGCTGTCAAACTAAGCAGTGCCAGTTGGTTGTAACATTGTATCAAAAGACTTAGGGGTCGTTTGGATGAATCAATTGTAAAACGAGACAATTTATCAATTGTTTCATTTTACAAAACGAGTCATTTAAAACGAGTCAATTCAGATTACCTGCCCCCACCCTAGACAATTGTAATTGGCTCAAAATGAGTCAATTCAGAATTCCCCAGCCCAAATTGCTTCATCCAAATTTTCTGCTGCCAAACGGATCAATCTAGCACAATTGACTCAAAACGAGACAATTGTGTCAGATTGAATCCATTAGAATTCCTCATCCAAACAACCTCTTATACCTTGTATCAATCATAGCTTATATGCCCCTCGACCACTGATGAGTAATCTCAACCATTGTGGATGGCAGTACGAAGTAGTTAACATAACGACTAGCGATTGGACCAAATGTCATTCCCATGGGTAATACTGTCTAGTTTTTTTTTCTCTCGGATTGTCAAGTTCTGGTTAATGCTGCCAACAGCTATTCTAAAACGTGATCATGACATGCGAGAGCTTGGATTCATTGCATACGACATATCCTATCGATGAACGACCAAATTCGGGTTGTTTTTACCCCTCGAAATTGTAACAAAAGTGCAGAGTGGGTTGCCAAAGAGGTTGCGAAAGGAACTCTTCCTCAAGATTGGATCTTGAACCTTGACTTGTTGCGCCTTTGGTGTAATGTTCTTGGTTTGTATCACAGTCGAATGAAATATAAATTGTATGTAAAAAAAAAGTACTGAGGAAATATTTGAGAGACAAGATGATAGAACCCGCGTTCTGGGTTCTATATAGGGATTAGAATCAATGAGGACCAACTAGGGATTGATCCATTTTGAGAAATGAGATGATAAGAGAGATGGGAATTGAGGGAAGAGGAGGTTGCGGCAGCCGCCTGTAGAGAGGGAGGAAGAGTTCGGCAGAGGGAATAAAGAGGGCGAGGATTAGGGAAAGTAGTTTAGGTTTAATCTTGCTTAACTCTCATACACACACATACACACACGTAACAACATAGTTTAAATAGTAAACCCACAATTTCGTATAGCTACCCCAACTTATTAAACCCCCAAATTATTACCCAAATGCCCAATCGAATCCCACACAATAATAACTAACAAATAAATCCAATATTAAAAAGAATAGAGAAATGCAGGTATCTGTCGCCAGACAACCAACAACTAGGGATAGCAATTTCGACCTGATCCGTTTTACCCGATCTGTTTGACCTGCTTTGGGGCGTGCATGGGTACCTCCCATCGACCTGACCTGCCCCGATCAGCCCCATTCTTGACCCGTTCTTCTTTAAATTACATGTAATCTTAGTCAAATTATTTAGGATTTTCCTTTTATTACCTCATATTTTAGCTATAATAAACTTGTAAATAAGTGAAAACCTTAATTTCTCCAATAATATAACTACATGTTATCATATTATGGTTTCTTTCTTGGTCTTTTAATGAAAATAACGAATATTTCTAATGTTTTTCACATAAATTAGATACCCATTGTGTCGACCTGCCCCGACCCGCCCCCCGTGATAAAATACCCGATCCGGACTCGACATGCCACATGACGGGTATGGGTATCGAGATACACACCCCGTACCTGCCCATTACCATTCCTACCAACAACCACACTATACATCACACCATAGTTATCAATGGCTAATAGTTCATTGTGATGCAGATTCTTATCGGGCAATGGGCGCAAATATTTCCTATGGCTGATTATGGGTAGAAGGTTCGGATTTGAATTTCCAGAAAGGTTCTACAAAAAAAAAAAAAAAAAAAATCCAGAAAGGTTAAATGGAATAAAATTGGACCATAACTAGCTACGCTGCAATCCCTAGAACTTTAGAAAATGGTCACTAGTAGACACCATGCTCACTCCACATCAACACCACGAAATAATGCTGCCGGACGTTAGGACTAATGATAAACTTAGGAGCAGAATAGAACAGTAAACAGCAGGATTAATACCCAAACCAAACACGGTTTTGGAAGTAAACAAGCTTATTAAGTTGTTCATAGGCTCTAGCATTCCAATAGTTTCTGATCTGACGTAAAATAACTGCAGAAATAGATTACTATACAAATGAGGCGAATGGTGCAGAGTGGATCCTTGAGCGTAAAAAGAAAGGTGTAATCTCGATGCCACGGCTGCCGAGGAAGTATCACAACCAGTAACTTAAGTATGGAACTATAGCTACAAAGAAACCCTCTACTTGACATAGATAAGAAGATATGTTCACCGAGTAACAGAGACTAGAACTCGATATTAAACCTAACATGCTCCTCTATAGCCAGATACCAAAAGCTTCGCTCATCTTGTAGTACAAGGTTCACCAAACACTCCCAAATATGCATCTGCAAAAGTGAAGAAGATGAAATGTTCTGACTACAATATTCTAACATCATACATAGGGCAAAGCTGAAGGCGTTCAAGAACGGGTTCAAAAAAAGGTTCCACAAAGATCCATAATCCTATTACAGGGGACGTCCTCAGTGCATGGCTGAAGGAACCAACCTAGATACAATAAACTAGAGTAACATTTATAGAATAAAGAGCTACTAAACCAGTCAGACTACTGTGCCGTGTGATCATGGTAAAATACATGTATATCAGCTCGTCAGAGGCAACCAGATTGTACTATATGAACTGATTCACAGGGTTGTATGCTTCTGATATAATAGAGAGCAGTGAAAACTTTGGAACAAGCAAATTATTCGAGTCAAGAAAGCCAACAATAGTACATCATACGCACGGTTCGTCATGACAAAAAAAATATAATGACTATGTAAATTGGAAGTATTAAGATCACAGAACTCCACCTCAGTTCTAAATGGAATCAAGCAGCAGTTGATGCCCCAGACTGATACTGCTTCAACATTTCACAGTGAGGAGTCTCCCTCACAAAACCCCACTGCATTCTTTGTAACTCGAATCTACAGTTCTGGGAAAGGAGAGATACATATTCTCTCTCCACATTTGCTTCCAGCCTTACCCTGTTCTGACTATCAACTGGATAATCCTGCTCAAACCTGGTACTACTCTTGACATAAAAGTTGACCCCTCTCTCAGTGGTGTACCTATGCTCATAAGGATATGACCGAGAGAGAGAGTAGACTGGATCCGACGAAGGCAGGAAGTTCAATAGCAAAATCACAAGAACAGGAAGCAGCTGAATCAATGCACGGACATTGAATCCAGATCCATTCTCACCACCAGTTCTAGGACCCATCCCACCACCAAAGTTGAAAGTCCTGAACTGGGTAGTGGCAGGAGACATTCCTCCATAGAAAAACTGCCTGAAAATCTCGTCAGCATCAAAATCTTCATAATAACCATTGTAGACACCTCCCCCACCATGGCGCCTAGGTGCCCGTCGCTCAACCACAGGATCTTCACTTCCCGTTACATCATACTTCCTCCTACTCTCTTCATTACTCAGACACTGAAACGCTTTGGACACTGCCTTAAACGCTTCTTCAGCTCCCGGTGCATGGTTCTTATCAGGATGCACTTTCAGTGACAACTTCCTATACGCCTTGCGAACATCCTCCACACTACAACTCTTCTCCACTCCCAAAATTTCATAATAATCCTTCTTCTTATTGATTTGCCTTACCATCGTAACTTGCTCCTCAGTGTACGTCGCAGAGGACGAAGAAGATGAAGCACCAGCAGCTTCGGCAGAAGACCCCGCCGCCGTCCCAGCCCGATGTCGAAGTTTGGATTCTTTACTAGTCGGTCCATTAGCGCTCCCAGCGTTCCGATCGGACGATGACGACTCCTTCTCCGTCTCTGACATGAGATCGTCGATGGGCAGACTCGGATCGAGACGGCCAGCTTTGGAGAAGAATTTCGCAGCGCGAGCTCTATCCCCCGATGCGAGCGCGTCCTTGCCGATCCTCAGGCACTTCAAGGCATCGTCCTTGTTCCCGTCCATTGCTCGTCGGACCTACAACAAAGGAATTCAATCCACACAACCCAAAAACCTTTAGAAAATCATCAATCGGGACTGAACGTAAAAAACAGATGACAAATGGAAACTGAAAACGGAAACGCCGATCGGAGAAATTAGGGAGTGGAATGTGAGAATTTAGGGGTTGAACTTACGGATTAGTCGGGACTGGAAGTTTAGAGACTGAAATCGAACTGTTTATTTTCTGAGATCGAATAATTTATTAGGGTTTCATCTCAACATTTGGGGGATTTGAGGGAAGAAAGAAGAAGATTGGAGAACAAATTGATCTGTGGAATCGTGTAACTCTCCGATTTTCTGTCTGTGCTATCATTCGTCAGCACGGCAAGTCGTACAATATTGGGCCTCTTAGTTGGGCCTTTCTATGGGCCATTGATTGTGAGCCCAAGACGTTGCGTCCCATATTCTATATCAGTCCACATAGAATGAGCGCCGTGTTTGCTTACACGACAATATATCTTTGCGTTTTGAAAATCTCATTATAAACGTTCATCGTCTACTTCAAACCAGATTTCGGACCCGAACTTTGACTAGGGTTTAGGGTTTGCGCAGAGGAAGGTGAAGTAACAGAACAGAGGAGAGAACACATAGGCGTCGTCCAGCTTGCCGACTCCGATGGAGGCCGAGAATCAGATGCAGGTAGACCTCGGCCATCTACTGGCGTTCGACCCGTACCACCACTTCCCTTCTCCGCCTAAATCCAGGTCAGTGGCTCGTAACTTCCTTTTCCTATTTCGACTAGCTCCAGTGGCAACGAATTTGAACTTATTCTGGTTTTGATGCAATTGGATTGGATGCGGCGGATATTGTAAGTTATGGGTTTTTGGCTGATTGTTTACTTGTTATTTTACTGTTGAGGCTAGGGAGGAATTAGTGACACAATGCTTGAGTGAGGGAACTAAATTAGTTCAAGCGGTTGTTGATGGTCTTTTCAACTTGACTTCGACTGAAGCTCTGGAGGGTCCGCTTGTGAAGCTACCTAAGCCGACGACCAGGCTGCCCAGGGAGAAACATGTAAGCTGGCTAGCTTTTTGAGTTGGCAATGGGATTGAATGGTTAATTCATCCAAGTTGTGATTTTGATATCGATGGTGGCTTGCAGCCTTCTTCTTTAAGATTGAACGTCTAATGATGTTAAAGCGTGATTGATGAAACATGAATACATGTGGAAATGCAGATGCAGATACATCGTTAACCTTCCAAGTTTGCAAAGGCTTAAGGGGATTTTGGAGTAGCACTCACAGGTTGTTTGTTTATTTTTGCAGTTACCAAGGCCTAAGCCTCCAACAAAATGGGAGTTGTTTGCCAAATCGAAAGGTAACTTGTTACTTTTTAATTTACAAGGGATTATGAAAGCTTTTTGCTGTATGGTCATGAAGTTCTGTCTATCTAGTTTCTTGTGAGAACTGTAAACCTTGTTTTAACATGAAATCTATGCTGATGTGATGTTGTCTTGCAGGAATTCAGAAACGTAAAAAGAACAAGGTCTTATGGGATGAACAAACTGACAGCTGGAAACGTAGTTATGGATATGATCGTGTCAATGATGACGCAGATGTTCCTATTATCGAGGCCAAGATGACTGATGGTAAATGATGTTTTGGAGTCATGGAAGGAAATCTCAATTGAATTAGTCTTGGTTTATTTTGAATAATCTTGTGTTAAAGAGGCTGCTGAGTCTGAAGTCTGAACTCTGGGGAAACATATACTAAAACACAAGCTCCTTAGGATGGTCATCAGTAATGTCTGAATTGTATTTTCTCTTTTACTCTACCCTTCTGCAGAACCTGGAGGGGATCCTTTTGCCAAGAGGAAAGAAGAGAAGAAGAAAAGAGTTGAAAAGACTGAGAAGAACCGTTTGCAGAATTTGAAACAAGCTGCCAAAATTGGTGCCTTACCAAGGTATTTCTTTTGGCATGAGTGACCACATAGGAAATAATTTCCCTATGCCATCCATTTTACTGCTATAGTCGTCTTTCTTGATTCTCTTGTCTGGTTAATATGATTCTAGTTGTAAATTTTTTCTCTGTCTGCCTTCTGAATGACTCTTATTCAGAGGAATGTTTCTGGTTTGTTCAACTTTTTAATTTTCCCACTAGTGCTTTTAGAACTTAAGTGAACTCTTTTTGCTGCAGTCACGTTCAGCTAGCTGCCACAGCATTACCTATAACAGGAACACAAGCACCACCAAAGAAAATTACGAAAGACGAACTGGGAAGTGTTGCAGGGCTTGCTGCAACCGCCACAGCCAGTGGTGGAAAGTTTGATAAGAAGGTGGCTGGTGAAAAGCCCGTCAAACACCAAGGAAAACACCGCAAGGTTTATTTTTTCTGAAGAATCTTAGTTTTTCTCCAATGGCAGTCCTTTTATGCTTTTATTGTCTCCTCGCTTCTTTCGTTTCCTTCCCTAATATGTCCCCCTTTCTCCTCTTCAGTTCCTACCTGCCGCTGAAGGTTCAGGGATGGGCAACCGAGAGAAGGAACAAACTGATAAAGTGCTGAACAAACTAATGGCGAAAAATTCACACGAGATACTCAACGTTGGCAAGGTAAATAATATTAGTTTTCTCTTTCACTCAGAACACAATAGAAATCAGACTCAATGACTCGAGCTGTTGGTTTGCAATTCGTAGGCCGTGAGCATGTACAATGTGAAGAAGCAGAGAGATGGAAGGAATCAGAAAGGGAGATCGTCATTCGACTCGAGCAGCAAGTTGAAACCAAATGGGAAACCCATGAAAGGTGACAAGAAGTCTCCATATCAGAAGTCTAGAAAAGGCGGCAGCCACGGTGGTGGCTCAAAGAAAGGGAAGGCTGAATAGTAACTATCAAGTATCAACCCCCAAATTTTGTCATATGAAGTTTTGGATTTGTAGGTCTCTGTATTTCCTATCACATTTGATAAAATGGCCAATTCTATCTTCTACTCTATCTCTCCAAGTATTAGTGTATCCTTTGTTTACATTACATCACTCACAATGGATGGAATTTGTACACAGACTTATGTGCACATCACTTCAAAGTGTTGAAAGTTGCATTTGTCTTGTTCTTGGTATGAGCTGCCAGCAAGCTAACCAAGCAAAGCGAGAGCTCCAATTCTATCTGAAGTTTGTGTGGTACGAGGAGAGCAATTGAAAATGAACAGAAGGCACTATAAAAAAAAAAGGAGATCTTTTGTGAAAACATGCATCAGCAGAGGCACGATAAGGTGTCCAAAAAGTGATTGGCAAAGAATTGTCTTGTTAATATGGAAAAAAGAGTTGCGATGCACAATTGGAGTACTAGATTAATCACCAGAATTTCGCTGTTATCGTGTTTGGTGTTTTGAACATCGAATTGATTAAGTTTCTTCTGATTATGCTTCAACAAATGTCATTAACGCCACATGAATTTATCCAAGCAATGAGATTAAATGATTAATTATCCTCCTTCCACCTGAATCTTTATTTCTTCTTTCCCGATTATCTGATTTCCCTGAATTCTTTCACTATATAGTAGTCTAATAAAAAAACCCGCGGCCCACTGCTATCGGGTAGGGTTAAATAACGAAAAACTGCCTCCCCGATTCTCGTCTCAGTCCATCCTCCCCGCCCGCCATCCTTCCACTCCCTCCAAAGCCGGCGGCTTTCCTGACGCAACCCAAAAGAAAAAGGCCTAAGCTTTCAAAGTTTCCATTTTAAAAAACAAAGAGGAACAGATTCAGAAGTTGCTTCGAAGCATATCCTCCAACCCCACCCCCCTTTTCTTCTCTTCTCTCTTCCTCTCACCACTTTCATTGTAGAGAAGGGACGAAGAAGAAGAGAGGAAACGGGAGGAGAAGAATACCCATATAGCCCATCTTCAGGTAACGCTATACCATCCGTGTTTTGCCATCTGCAGATGTCCATCAGGCATTTCATGGACTTGTGCTGAGAACCCATTTTTGTTATTGTATTGATTATCAGGTGGGGAGAGTAGCAGAGGAATTTAGGTATGGGTAGGGGTTGCGTGCAAATTGTTCGACGAAATAATGAAGGGGTGACCTTCTCTAGCTCTGGTGTCAAGGCGCAGCTTTTCCTTCAAGAGGCTACTGATGCTCTCAAGCCGAAAGCTCGTAGCAGCAGCAATGTCTTCTTCGCCAGTGTTAATCAAGTTGGGAAGGGATTCGGGGTCTCTTCCTCGCCGAATTCGCTGGAGAATTCCTCCACCGCCACCATGCTTACTGCGCCCAATATGCAACTGAAGCTAGTGTCAATAGCTGAGCCACCTCTGGCTGTGGAGAGCAGCAGCATCCCCCCTGAGTTGCAGCTTGGAGAAGTTCTTGAGACGGTGGTGAAGAACACGAAGAAGAACAAGAAGGGTGGGTTTAAGTGGAGAATCAAGGTGAGGAATCCGGCGTTGAGGAGGTTGATCAGTGGGGGGATTGCGGGTGCTGTTTCGAGAACTGTTGTTGCTCCTTTAGAGACCATAAGGACTCATTTGATGGTGGGGAGCTGCGGGCATTCGTCGTTGGAAGTGTTTGATAACATTATGAAGTCTGAAGGGTGGACTGGTTTGTTCAGAGGCAATTTCGTTAATGTTATCCGTGTCGCTCCAAGCAAAGCTATTGAGGTTCGTTTTTTTTCCAGAGAATTGTGTGTCATCCATTGTTTCATATGCTTTGACATCGATTGGATTCACTGCATTGGGGTGCTGATTTGCTTATTCAGTGTTATCTGATTGCTTTTGTGGAAATTGCTTCATGAGAATGATCCTTTTTTCATTCTTCCTGGTATCAGAGCAGTCTTATAAGTTAAATGGTCTTCCAGAACAGATTTTCCCTTGTTAGATGACAAGTTAATATCTGAGAATGGTGTTTGGGACGAACTATGGTTAAAATTTCTTGGCATGGGCTTACACCGTCGGATCCGTCCCCATGCTATCTCATTCATTTGATCGACATAGATGACATTGTTTAGGAAATTTTCATATCATTGATCAACGATCTCGGGGAGGCAATGAGGTGGTCACAGCATATACTGATGGGAGGCTGTCACTGTAATAGCCAAATTTCAATTGATTGATCTTTTTTCCTCGTGCCATGAGAGGATTGGAGCATATGTGTACTGTCCTGGTGTTTGAAACTCCTTTTCTTTTCATGATTGTGATTGATTTAGAATGTATTACTTTTTCAAATAGTCATAAATTTGCTCACTTATCCAAGTTTCTTGACCACTAGATGGGGTTTAACTTTGTTCACAGGTTTTTCTCCACTTAGCTCCAAGTTTATCCAACAAATGAATGAACATCATAGCTTCAGGGCAAACCTTTAGGAACTGTATTTTTGGTTGTCTGTATTGTGACATCATATCATCATCACTGAAATAAGTAATTCTTTTCTTTTGCATTAGTCGCAAATGTACTGAGTCGAAATAAACATATTGGCTTTTTATGTTAAACCTATGGAAACAGAGAAACTGGCATCCGAAGACAAGTTGATAACTTAATACACTGACTGCTTTTCTTTGGATTCTTCTGCAGTTATTTGCTTATGATACTGTTCTGAAGAACTTGACCCCTAAACCTGGGGAGAAGTCGATGTTGCCAATTCCTGCATCCTCGATTGCCGGTGGCCTAGCTGGTATTACTTCCACCTTCTGTACCTACCCTCTTGAGTTGCTCAAAACCCGACTCACAGTACAGGTAAAAACTCATCCGCCTAAGTAATCGAGAGCTCGGCCCCTTTGTGTCGGTTTTACAGAGTTGAGCTGGATTTGTTTTTGACTGCGGACCACATGCAGAGAGGAGTATATGACAACTTGCTCGACGCCTTCGTAAAGATAGTCCGAGAGGAAGGCCCCGGGGAGCTGTACAGAGGTCTGACTCCAAGCCTAATAGGGGTAGCACCATATGCAGCAGCCAATTACTTTGCTTACGACACATTAAGGAAAGCGTACAAGAAGGCTTTCAAGACCGAGGAGATTGGAAATGTGATGACCCTTGTGATCGGGTCGGCTGCTGGTGCAATCTCAAGCACTGCAACTTTCCCTCTGGAGGTGGCGAGGAAGCAGATGCAGGCTGGGGCGCTCAATGGAGGGCAGTATCGCAATCTGCTCCACGCGTTAGCTGGGATCCTTGAGAAGGAAGGATTGGTAGGGTTGTATCGAGGGTTGGGACCAAGCTGTATGAAGTTAGTACCTGCTGCTGGTATATCGTTCATGTGCTACGAGGCTTGCAAGAAGATACTGGTTTTGGAAGAGGAAGCTCGTGTAGAGCAAGCAACGGGTTGATGATCATCTTTTTTCCCCTTCTAGTGGAGTAGCTTCGGAATTCGCATAGATACTTCTTGATTAGGGGGTCGACTTGCCCTAAGAGATGTGACCCTTGTGTTTTTTACTTGATTAAAAAAGTAGGATTAGATTCTAGGCCAATAATTCATCCATGAGTTCATGCCAAAGGATTTAGACTAGTGTTGTATTAGTATTTAGTGGGCAATGTGGCTCACTAGTATGCCCTTTCCACCTCAAAATCTAGGCAAGAGAAAACTTCCACCAATTTTGTAGTTATGAGCTTAAACCCGCGTATTAATGATTAGTGATCATGATTACTGCTTGTGATATCATATCTAGCGATTAGTGGTACTAATTAAATTGCAATTTGTTAGAGGTTTCTAGTTCTACACAGTTTCGTCCGAAATGGTTAGTGTCGCATAGGGCTGTTGAACTATAAATGAACACGTCGAAGCATCAATATCATTCAAGTTGACAAAACCATGGGAAGATTTTGATATGAAGAGAACAGCTTACATATGATTGAAAAACCCTAGAAAAGAAACGAACAGCTAGACTAAAGCAAAGAAGACTACCAAGAGTCTTGACAAAATTGAATCTCAGATGACAAATGGGGTTTTCAGTTTTCTTACAGACCAACAACAAAAAAAAAAAATTCACAGCTTCACAATCCCTGCCTTTTGGTAAAGGAGAAAGAGGAACCAACTAGAAAGCTTTTTTGGTCATTATGATCTAAAGCAGACCGCACCTCCATGCTGAGAACAAGAAGAAGCTTTTCAACTCTGCTCTTCATCATCTGCTCCTGCTGTTGCTGCCGCCTCCCTCTCTTCAGCAGCAGCTGCCATCAGTTCATCAAAGTTTGCAGTCTTTCCAAGGAGTATCTCAATCTGCAAAAAGAAATTATATCTATAAGGATACAAGAGATGGTAATAACTTATGACGACCGAATGCACAACTCAAATGCTTTTACCTTGGCTTTTTGGACAGGCCGCCCCCTCGAATCGTCCCTCATATCAACAGTCGAGGTCATGATTTCTAAAAGTGGACATGACCCAGTTGCTTAAGCATTAATAACAACTGTGAACAAGCGTAATTCATTAGGGTTGGGAGGGAGGGGGGGAAGACAAACTTACTCTTCTCCACAGCCAATCCATTGTTCTTGAGAATTTCGGCCACCGTTACAACTGTGGCGATAGCTGCAGACACGAAAGAACCAACAAGCACCACAAACACAAAGTCAGAGGTATGGTGCACTGGCGCAACCAACTACAGTTTTACAATGTATAACAGCAATGATCAATGCGACCACAGGTAGCAATTTTTCGATAAACTGTGTTCATTCATTCATTCATTCATTTGCAGAGGTCAAGAAGAAACCCAGTCCACCTTGAACCAAAATAAAACGAAGCCAATGGGAAGGAAGGGAATACTGGAGGCCATTCTTAGCTATTATACACATAGAATTCATGGTTCACCTATCCGATTTCGACGAATTAATAATCAGGGAAGCAATTCTCCAACCAATTCCCAAGTGCGGATAGCTCCACCCACCTCATTGAATGAGCAGCAACGAATATTGGAGAGCAACCTTAGCTATTACTAACAGAGAACTAATGGTTCTCCAGAGATACTGATTTCCCGGATTAACAATCAGGAGAGCAGTAATATTACCCATTCCAAGTGCGGACAGCTCCACCTCGTTGAATTGCTGCATGTACCTCTGCAATGAAACCCCCCCAAAAGCTGATCAATTAGAACGATAAATTCGACGGGGAAAACGAACAGAGATTCAGAGATATCGAATCAGGCAAATTTGAATCCCTAACTGGCCAAATTTCTTGAATGAACGCGCTCATGTTTTGAGAATCGGAGAGCTACCTTAGCGAGATTGACGTAGAAGAAGAGGGGCTTCTTGGTGTTGGAGACCTGAATCCGGTTCTTCTTGGTCGCATCGGCTCCGGCCAGGTTGATGCTGTTCACGCCCTCAGTTATCTCTTCCATTGGATCTTCCAATCGATTTAGAGGGACTATCCCTAATCTCTTGATCGGAGAACGTAGACGGAGGAAAACTTTGCGTAGGAGCAGAGACAAAGGATCGACGGGACGGCGGCGGCAAGGCGATACTTGGTTTATATATAACACTGCGAAAGCCTTACTTCGTCGCTTGTGTTTTAAATTTTTAATTAATTTCCTATCTTCATTTTAAATTTTAATTAATTTTCTTCCTTCTTTTGCATGGAATTAATTGTCTTTTTCGTTTTTTCCCCTGCTCAATAAACACTTACATTTTTTTCTTATCCTTTTTGTTTCACATAATAATAACCATTACCACTAGAATTGAGTACAAAACAAATCCTATTAATAATATGTGGATATAATATTAACATTGTGAATCCAATCAACCAGAAAATCCACCCTTAGTGTTATAACTATGAGGAGAGAAACATACTCCAATTTTATATTTTAAAATTGTATGAATTTGGTCATAATCTCGGTCAAAATAGAGAGATTCAAGGATCACGAGATAAGCGGTTCTTGACCATTGACAATAGGAGTATATTTTCCTCATCCTTGCTAGATATTGAAATTTTTGCATAGTTAAAAAATACTTGTCTAGATGCTAGGCAACGACAAAGAGGAAAATTAACATCATCTACAAGTTTAATCTTGTCTTTCAATCTATCAACTAACTCAAAAAACTTTGTGAGCTATTGAGCTACGATATCATGAACATGTGAATTATCTTTCTTTGTTATTGAGGATTAAGTTAGTTACAATCATTGAACCGAAGTGCGCAAGTGTTATAAATTGTCATTACATTCATCATATAGTACAAACTATTAGTTTTGGCTTCATCACCTAGGCACGTTTAGGCGAGATGCTTCGACAAGGTAAATACTAAGCAAGATTCAAATGCTAGTATTACGCCCAGACCTTGAATTTTTGTATAGTTGAAAATAGTCCAAATTATTGCATCTGCCATTTGTTATATCGACAACTTGCCATTGAATGATGCATTATCAATTTATCATAACCCCATAATATCTCAACGGAGAATCTTTTCGAGCAATCTGGCACAATCAATATCTATAAGTTGAAATTCACATGTGGGAATAGAATGTCAAGCAATCTAAAATGCCCCAAACTATGGTGTTCAATTTCATTAACTAAACCTGGTTTAACTCTTAAAGAAACTTTAACACTAGTCATCATAACCCTAACCATCAGGAACATCAGTCACAAACACAACCAACCAACCCAAAAACAAACCACAAACCCCGAAGATGTGAGGGAACAAGAACTAGATTTAACAAAATCAGCAACCAAAAAGCTTGTGTACCAACCCCTAAACAGGGCACTAATCCCCCACCAATAATTTTACCTGTTTAATTGCCTACAAAGCTCCAGAAGCCTTTTCAAAACACATCGAAATTCCTCATAACAAAAGTTAAGTGTAGCTTCTCAGAGGAGCCTCCTTTTCATCGTTTCGTTCTCGCCTAATTATAGATAGTAACTAATGATAGTAAAACGGTAAAACCCCCACTCTTCCATCTTCTACATATCCCAGCCACTCGCCACCACAGCTTCAGTCCCAAGCTCGTATCCACCACCACCACCGCCGGCACCAGAACCAGCAGGCGGAGCGATGTAACCTCCATAACCGTTCTCTCCATAGTAAGAACCTGACTCGTAACCACCATAGCTTCCCCCGCCATATCCACCGCCGGAATAGTCATTGCGGAAGTCATACCCACCATGTCTGCTCCCACCACCACCACCGCCATATCGTCTGTATCTGCCGCCGCCGGTGTAGGTGTTCGAGGAGTTCTTGGCGTATTCGCTCAGCCAAGGAGGGACCTCCTGGTTCGACTCCTTCATGAGCTCAACCAATGGCTTCGCCAGTGACATGTTCTGCTCGCTGAAGAATGCTGTCGCCAGTCCTGACTTGCCCGCTCGCCCTGTTCGGCCGATTCGGTGCACGTAGTCGTCTATGTCCTTTGGCATGTCGTAGTTGATGACGTGGGAGACGTTGGGGATGTCCAGGCCTCTTGATGCCACGTCGGTTGCGACCAGGATTGGAGTAACGCCGGCTTTGAATGATCTCAAAGCTCTTTCCCTCTCCTTCACAAATGAGAGAGTAAATGAATCAATAAGGTACTCAAAATGAGAGTGAGAAAGGGTGAAACGTCATAGGATAAAGCAGACCATTTGGACTTTGTCGCCATGAATGGCTATGGCTGGAAGGCCACTCTTGCACAGGTAGTACTCCAAGGCATCTGCTCCTTTCTTTGTCTCAGTAAACACCAGTGTCAAATCGCGCTGCCACGAGAATGGAAGTGAACATTAGACTTCGTAGATGTGAAGGGGGAGAGATGGAGAAGTGGGTTAAAGGCATTATTCACCTTGCCGTTTGCTTTCTGGCCATGGAGGAGTTTCATGACGTGTGACCTCTTATCCATATCCTGAACAAGCTCGACCTTTTGAGAGATCAACCCAGTACTGGAACCAACTCTCCCAACGGATAGAAAGATGTAATCGTTGAGAAAATCGGATGCAAGTCTCTGCAAGACAAGATACACTGTTACAGCCAAACGCATGTAGGCTCAAAGTAAGCTGCCATTAGAAAAGACAGGCGACCACTCGGTCAATAAAATGACAAAACAAACCTAAGACCACTAAGACCTCTGTGAACATTTTGAATAGTAAATATGCAGACCAAATTTGGACTGACTCTCTCTTGTCTAGGTCACAGTCACAAATACAAACAAGAAAAACGATCAAGTGGGGGGAGCCATAACATCAGAATCCAATGTGAGATACAAGGAAAAAACAAACCTGTATCTCATCAGGGAATGTTGCACTGAAGAGCATAGTCTGCCTTTGACCAGGTGGAGGCATCCCCATCTGCTGAACTATCTTCCTGATCTGAGGCTCAAATCCCATATCAAGCATTCTATCGGCTTCATCTAAAGCCAGGTGTTTGATCATCTTCAGAGACACTCTGCCTCTATCAATCATGTCAGCTAAACGCCCTGGTGTTGCCACCAAGATGTCAACACCCTTCTCCAAATTGTAAAGCTGCACCCACAGTGAAAAGAATAACATCTCACACTGTTAAACAACCTTGAACCCATTTCACCACACTGTTATGAACCAACAGTAAAATGCTGCAAATGCCCATGTGCGTGAGCTACCTAACTACAATAAACAATGGTGAATAGAGCAATGTGCACGATTCTGTGGGTTATGGATCCAAATGCTAAGTTTCAAGAGGAAATGACAGAATACACAAGCAAACAATCTAACCAAAGGGGAAAGCTAAAAAAGATGATTGGTGTAGAGAAACCTGCTGTTGAATCGGTGCGCCTCCATAAGCAACAACGATCTTCACTCCAGTCTTGAAGGCAAACTTCTTGGCCTCCTCGTGAATCTTCAAAACAGTGGCCGACAATATTATATTAAACAATGGGAGAAGCTTGTAGAGCAAGGAGAATGGTTAAAAAGAAAATACTTGAGCCATCGGCCGATTCCCCACCTGACAGGACAATTCCCTGGTAGGGGACAATATAAGAGCAGATGGCTGGGCCATCATCCGGGTCCCACCCCGACCCGACTGACCCGAACTCAACCCGTTCTTCAAAATCGTCGAAATGATCGGGAAGCAGAACGCGGCGGTTTTGCCAGACCCAGTTTGAGCGCAGGCCATCAGGTCCCGCCCGGCGACCGCAATGGGGATGGCGTGCTTCTGGATCGGAGTCGGCTTCACGTACTTGCATCTCTGGATGTTCTGCATCAGGCCTTCCCCCAAATCAATCTCGTCGAACCTCTCCACCGGCGGAGGCACCTCGGACCCCGTCGCCTTCACCGGGATGTCGTTGTAAGCTTCGAAGTTGATTCCCCCTCCTCCCCCGCCGCCGCCGGCTTCCTCCTCGTCGAGCACCTCCAGCTCGTCGAATTTCTCCGCAATCGCATCAGCAAACGATGACGAAGAGGACGATCCGTACTCTCCAAGCCGCTGACCGCGTCCTCCACCTCCCCTTCCTCTACCGCGGCGGCCACGGCCGCGAGGGGAGAAATCCTGCTGGCCGAGTACATACCCGCCCCCGCCGCCGTACTGACCGTACACAGGAGAAGGAGCATTGTAAACTGCTGAATAAGGCGAATAGCCGTAGGTAGCATTGTAGGGATTCGCAACCGGACCGTTTCGGAGGTGCGGAAGGACGTAGTTGCCACTAGGCAGACGACCTCGGCCCCCTCCTCCTCCGCCGCCGCCCCTGCCGCCGGTGACGTCCCAGCTCATGGTCAACAAGCGGAAGAAAAAATCAAGGAAGAAGAAGAGAGTAGAGAAAAATCTGGTCCGTGTTTGGAGAATGGCGCTTTTCACGGAGAGGGAGTGAGTGAAAGAAGGTTGTTCTCGCAACAATGGCGGATTGGGAAAATGGCGTGAGAGGGGAGGAGACGGAAAGGCGCCCATTTGTTCTTCTATTGGGCGAGTTTTGTAGAGTACGGGGGGAGTGAGCTGGAATTTACTGCAAAAGAATAATTAAAAATTGAAAAAGAAATGGGAGGAAATTGGAAGGATACCCGAAAATGGCAAAGCACTGAGAAAAAGGGGAACCCGGAGGTAAAATTTAGTTGGATTTATTTACTGCGATGGTAAAAAAAATTAATGTGAAATATCGAGTCTACCCCTCAGGGTCTTGTCTGACGGTTTGGTGAGGGACGCGGAATGGGGAATGTGGGCAGGCGATTAGTGCTCTGCGAGAAAATATCTGGGGATTCGATGGAACCCAGTGGGACACGTGTCCGGATTTGGTTGGGGGTTTAGTTCGTGGGCCCGCTTATTAGGGTTCGGGGAACCGGACCGTCGTGGTTGCAAACGGCGGCGAGTGGCTTTTGTGGCTGGTATAGTGTGGATTTCCTATGGCGACAACGTTTTGCTTTGTAAATCACCTCTTCTCTTTCTTTCTTTTCCAATGCCAAGTCAAAAAACGAGGCAAACATTTTTCAAACTGAAGGGTTAAAGGTCGTCCTAAAAATTACTAATCGTCGTCCTAACTTAATACGTAAATTACTTAATTACCCTTTTTAAAATTAAAACACAAACCCTAGCCAAACACTCCCCTTCCTCCACTTCGCATACTTCCCCTTCCTCCACTTCCCTTCCCCCGTCCACCAACAGCCGCCGACCTCCCCGTCAGTCACCCGCCGCCGGTTTGACCATCGCCCAGCCGCAGAGAGACCACGGCGGGTCGTCGCCGTCAGTCACCCGCCGGCCCACCTCGCCCTTCCCCCGTCGCCGTGAGTCCTCGTCCGCCGTCGCCGTCGCAGCCCTCCTCCAGTGGCCTGCCGTCCCACGCCGCCACGCACTCGCCGTCGCCCAGCCGTCGCCGTCAGCCCTCCTCTCGCCTGCCGTCCGTGCTCGCCGGAGAAGAAGGTAAGCTCCGTTCGTTCCGCGGCGCCCTTCACCGAATGTTGACTTCGGTTTGACCATGGACCAACCGAAAATCACATTCGGTCGAGATTTTTTTTTTTTTTTAAAACGAGATTTTTACCTCGTCGGAGTCGCTACTCATTGTTCGGACGTATGCTCGACGATTTCGGCTTCCAAATGTCGATGATGAATTCGAGAGTGTGGGAGAATGAATGTTTTTTGTTTTCTAAGTGAATGTGGTGTTTGTTTGCTAAAGGAAAGGTAAAGATGTCAAAAGGTTAAAAGTGTAACTTTGTTATTTTTTAGGACGATCATTAGTAATTGTTAGGACGACCTTTATCAACTCCCTTTTTCAAATCCTATAGGATTATGTTTTAGAAAATTTCATATTTGGGAGACACGGAAAATAGCTGATGCTACGCATAACAAAAATGTGAAGGAACAAACTGCCGATGTGTTTACAAATTACTAGCAGTTTTGATCTCACGTTATAATACTACCAACAAATTACGAGCTATTTTGATCTCACGTTTCATGTTGGTAACATTAATAACAAAGAAACCAATAAGGGTTAGGTGGTACACTCCGAAATAGTTGGGCTTATGCACAAAAAACTTGAAGGAACAAACTGCTAATGCGTTACCAAATCATAAGCAATGTCCATCTCAAGTGCCATATACAGATATACTACAACAAATTGGTATGCATATGGGTACCAAACGAGAAAGAGTACATATTTTTTCACATCATGGGCAAGAACCAAGAACTGAGGTAATCGAGCTAACACCGGCTTTCTGATTGATTCTCGATCAATTTGTTTGAAATATGTTGAGAAAACAAAAAAAATATTAGAAATACAACCTGACAATGAATGATCCTATTCCATGAATACAAATGGACTCATATAATTTCATCATCAAAGGACTTGAATATAAATTGACTCCTAATTCCTTTATCAAAAGACTTGACAACCAGCCACCATGTTACACACCTTGTGGTTTATATAGTTGAATAGTATTGTCAATAATATATTTCATTAATCAATTTGACTCATGTGTGCTAATTCTAAATTGAAAGAAAGAAACCCGCCGCATGCCCGTGTACTGCACACACAGACACTTTTTACTGTACAACGTGACTGAGATTTACTGTTTCAACCTGGCGTGTCCTTCGGTGTGGGCTGGAGTTGGGTGAGGCCTCATTGGGATCTGGCGGGGTTTGGGGGCTCGGTCGGGGTGGGACTGGTCGTTGGCTTCTGGTTGGCCTTAGTTGCGGTCGTTTGGTGGCCCGGACGCGCGTTGGTCATCAGAGATCGGTATGTGACTTTGCCCCTGCCCGGCCACGTGGGATGGGGCCTTCAGATGTGCTCAGTAAGTCTTGCGTGATATCATTGTGTTTGTTAGGGATTCCGGCTGTTGTTCGCATGACTGTGTTGGAGAAACTTGGCGGCTGATTGGCTGGGGTTGGAGGTGCTTTGGGAATGGTGGACAACTGATTGATACCGGTTATTCACCTGAGGGATGGGGCCTTCAGATGTCCTCAGTGAGTCTTGCATGATATGATTGTGTCTGTTAGGGATTGCTAGAGGGTCGTGTTGGGTTGTTGTTCGAAGGACTATGTTGGAGAAACCTGGCGGCTGATTGGCTGGGATTGGAGGTGCTTTGGGAATGGTGGGCGGCTGATTGATACCGGTTATTCACCCGATGGCGGGAGGGTGTCAAAAAGTTTACTGTTTCAAACACTGTGGACGTCATTTAGTGCCTCGATGCGTGCGCTCAGGTGGAGAAGGCCATTTCTCATTCTTTTTGTACTAGAGGACTCATTCTCGGAACGCATTTCCCTCTTTTTTTCTGCCCTCTTTGTTCTCTGTGGTTCAGTCGTTGTTTTCTCGCCTTTTTCCTCACCATGGATGCTACTCTGCTCTGCAATCTCAAAGGAGGTACCAGAGAGGTGACTCTGAGGCTTCGTCTGCTCCATATGTGGCATGCCAAGAATCCTTCTGGGACAAGGGTGTTTAATCACTGTTGCCTCTGGGTGGATCAGACGGTAGATTCTCTTACGCTGATTCTTTGTGATTACAGTGCTTTCTGTTTTTTTTGCTTTTTTTTTTCCTTCTTTGCTCTTTCTTTACTGTCTTTATTTGTTTTTAATTCAGTGTATGCTCATTCAGAGCCTTGCTTATGTCTCTATTGGGTCTGAATTTGAGCGTGTGCTGCGCGTGGGAGTTATCTACGTTCTAAGGTCTTTTGGTCTCAGTGCCGCAAGGAATCTCTATCGTGCATGCTCATTTGATCTGATAATAGAGTTGTTAGCAACAACTATTTTCCAGGCCTGTTCTCTACCTGCAGCTGAATTTCCAACTGATTCCTTTGAGGTTGTTCCTTATAGTGAGCTGTCTAACCGTTCAGGGGACAATCGCATCCTTGCAGGTGATTGTTGTGTTTTCTTGACTGAAGTGGATTGGGTTTTATGTCTTCTTACTGCTCTTTTTTTTTTGTTAGATGTTGTCGGCCGTCTTCATTCTATTAGCGGGATTGATCATCAGGTTACTAATCACGGCTCGACTCCAAAACAAGTTCTGGTCCTTGAGAATGCACAGTAGGTCTTTCTGTTATTTTATTTTTCCACTGGGGAATACTGTTTAGTCACCTTCACGTAAGATATGATCCTTTGTTTTGCTGTCAGGGGCCAGAGAGTGTCGATCACGCTTTGGAATGAACTGACGGCAATCCTTGATCGACCTGCTTTGATTCAGGCGGACTCCATTGAGCCAGTGATCGTTGGAGTTGGGGGGCTCATGGTTGGTCGTTTGATAGGTGTGTGTTTTAACTCTTTTCCATTCTGCTTGATCATAAATTGTGAACTGATTTTGTTTTTGTTGTGCAACTGGTGAATATTCCTGTTCGAGCTCCTGTGGAACCCGTATAGTTGTTAGCCCGAGGATACCAGAAGCTTACAGCCTCGCTGCTTTGTGGGTTCTTTGTTGCTAAACTGTGATTTTGTTGTTCTAGATTTGTTTTGTGGTGTTTGGTTTGCTTTACTTTTTTTGTGTCCATCTATGCAGTTTTGGTGGATCCAGAGTTCCTGTTGCTGATTTGCCGGTCAAGTTTGCGACCCCAGGGGACGCTGTTGCTGATGCTGAGCGGAGAACCAGGACCATAGCTGAGCTTCTTGATTTGCACCATGACGGTGCTTCTGTCGTGAGTTGCATTCCGATGTAGTTCTTGATTTTAGAATGGTCTTCGAGTTGTCCATTTATTTATGTTTTTTTATTTCTTTTTGGGATTGTCAATGTTTATATTCAGGATGAAAAGCATCGTTGCGGTGGTATAGTCCGATCGGTTGAGTCCCGGAGCCCGTGGTATTACATGTCATGCAGCATGTGCAGGAAAAAGTGTTCTAAATGGCGAAATGGTAACTACTGGTGTCCTGACCATTGGGAGATCACTGAGCAGCAAGTGACAGTTGGGTGTGTGTTTTGTCTGATCATTAGTTGTTGTTTTTGTTTATTTCATTGTGTGCCTGTCAGGACTTAAAGAATTTGCCTAATTTTTTGAGTTTGCACTCCTAAGCCTTTCCTGATGGAATTCTCTCTGTTTTTTACTGTGTCGTCTCTAGATACAAGATCCAATTGACCCTGCGTGATGCCACTGACGAGGCCGCTTTCATTATTTTCGGCCCGTGTGGGAACAATTTGGTTCTCACATCTGCCCAACTGCTGGCCCAGAGATATCCTCACAGGTCTGGCCAGTTACCGCCTGAACTTGAGGCTTTGCTCGGCCAGTTTGTCAGGTTTGAGGTCAAGCTTCCGATGGTTGGGTCAAGTGGAGTATCTACGGGTGAATTTCGTGTTTTCCGAGTTATGCCCCGTGATGTTCAGGGCCCAGTGCTTGGTCTTACAGGAGTTCCAGATGTCACAGGCAGTGTTTCTTCGTCCCAAACCCTAAGTCAGTCCTATTCTGGTCAGGAAGGAATGTTGATGCTGCCTGCTCCAGGTGTACCTTTCGCAGCTTCAGCTTCTGCTGTCATACTAGGGGGTTTAGGTATGGGTTTAAGTCAGTCCTATTAGGTGAGCGTTGTTTGCTTTATTGTTATGTTTGTGTTAGTTAATTACGGGGGTTTAGGTATGGGTTTGGGTTAGTCTAATTATTAATCTTTGCTATTACAAATCTAGCTCATCCAAGGGAAAAGAAAAGGTTGTTGACTCAGTGTCACCTGGAGGGACGAATCCAACATTCCAGATTGGCCAGGTTGCAGGGTTGCCTCTCAGGTAACACATTTTGACTGTTTTACTTGATTTGGTATTGATGCATTAACCTGTGCTTTGTTGCTGTTGTTGCATGGTAAATAGTTGCATGGTAAATACTTATGTGCTCATTTGGCTCTTGCAGTTCATCTCAAGTTCCTTTGGCAATCAAGGAGAATGCTGTTGTGTCCGACGTGATTTCGCCAAATTTGCTGCCTCCTGTTTCATCTATTGCACCTTTGCTTTCTGTTGCTGATGTGAAAGGAAAAGGAACAGGTCCAGGGGCGACTGTTGTGGCAGCTCCTTTTACCATTGCAGATCCTTTGAAGGTCTCTAATATCCAGTCAGTTGGTGCTGTGAAGGGTGCAGTGGGGACTCCTGGAACTCTGAGTGATGGTATGGATGTGATGAGTTCTACTAGCCAGGGAGTACATGGATTGTCATCCATTGCTGGGCTGGGTTCTGAAACTCCTCAGAGTAAAATCAGCAAGTCATCTTCAGCAGTTTCGCCTTTGTCTTCAAGGAGTCTGTGAGTTTTTTACTTTTAAACTTATCGTGTCATGGTTAGAGTGCAGTCGGAATTTATTGTTTTGGTCTTTGACAATGTAGCTTGATATCACCTCTGGCTAAGGTGAAGATTGAGAAGCTAGAATCTTCTGGAACTGGATCTCCTAATGTGAGGCAGGATGATGAGCAAACAGAAAGTTCGTCCCCTTTTTCGCTTGCTGACCAAGATTCACAAAGGGCGCCTGGGAAGCCTTCTGCTGCTAAGCGTCGCCTGTATGAATCTTAGGGTATAAATTCGAGTCTGATCCCTTTGTGTGTTATTTATTAGTTTTGAATGTTGATTGGTTATGTTATTTACTGGATCTATGTTATGCTAGGTGCAAGAAAGGAGGTTGCCTTTTGTGGATGCTGGATTTGCTGCAAGGAGGCAGTCCTTTTGATGGTGGGCAGGATGCTTATGTTGTCGATCGTTTGAAGTTGTGCTGGTTGGAGGGTTTGCAGCTCTTTTGTAAACTTCTTGGGAACCTGTTTGTAAACTTTGTTCTTGCCTTTCTTGGCTAATTTTGGCTAATTTTGGCAACTTTGTGGAAATTATGTTGTTGGTTACTAGACAAAACTAATGGTACTTCGGGTATCTGTTTATGAGGCGTAAGTTTTAAGTGCATGTAATTTTCTGTGCAAGATCAGGGTGGTCAGTTTGGACACCTGAAATGTTGTGACACCAGAGTGGGCAAAATTCTGGCCTTTTGGTCCCTCTTTTGTAGAATGTGAATGCTCAGCAGTTTTAAGTATTATCAAGGAATATAGTTTTTATCTAAGATGCCTGGGTTTTACATATATGTCTTAACTGTATGTATATACAAATATAACAAAAAATGTTCTTTACATCATGTGATGGGAAAGAGTAAGCATTGTCCAGAAGAAAAATTGAAATAAGAACAAGAGAGATTAGTAATGGATAGCAGACATGTGCTAATATTAAAAGGAATCTTTTGGGTTGCAACTTGCAAGATTTAAATAATTTGGGTTAATTATGTGCCCAAAATCTAAAGAATTAAATGCAAAAGCCATCATTGTTTACCCTTGGTTACAGAACCAGCAGTCACAATGACTACTTGGATAGAGATTAGACACCTGATATAAAATTATATATTGATTGTATAATATCTTATCAAGGAACACATCAGATATCAAAGAGATTTCATCAATAGACTTTCAACTTTCTCTTTGCCCTCTGGTTTTTGCTCCTGTGTTCAGCAAGTAATTCTGTTTGTGTCGACTTTTTCCCTTCAGTGGAGTATCAGCTAGCTGGAGTATACAGCAAGGTAAGACCTGTTGATCAGCTGTTTGGAGCTACACGTCAGAGACACTCATCATTGGTGATATAGACCACGTCATCAGATACAGTTAAGCATGTCTGTATTCGTTATTCTTCAGTTACACATTAATGGAACCTCTTTAAATGATTTGGATCCTCTTCTTTGTCTATCTGACCAAGACAGAACACTGAAGTTTGCAGTTATTGAACTTTTGTTTTTGGCTCATTTAAGTCTGACTGGATATCAAACATTTACTTTATGTAATCAGAATGACACCTAGAAAGAAGAGAGCGACTTCCAACCTGTTGAGGCGAAAGAGAGGTGACACTTCTTTCACAATCGAATCCTCCAGGAATCCAACACACAGCTTTACAGATATGAACGTGGATAACACCAGAGTAAACAAGAGATTGAGAAGCTTGTCGTTCATTCTCTCAGGGGAAATTTCAAAGTCGACAAATGCTCACAACATGGCCACACTCCTAACAACATTCATGTTTATTCTGTAAACCCAGTCAATCTTTTGCAAATGACCGCAGTTTTTATGTTTATGACAACATTTATGTCTATATTTAGAACATAAGGATTATGGTTATAGATAATATTAAATCCCATTTAAATTATGACAGAAATAGTATCCCGCAGCGGAGCGCGGGCTGAATCCTAGTGTTAATGAATAATAGTAGAGCCTTGGCCATATCATCCTCGTTAAAATAGTAGAGCCTTGGCCATTGACATAAATACAAAAAAAAAGGTAGGACTTGGGAGAAGCCACCAAACCAAAGGAGCATAGACATGCGTAAATTCCCAAAATATAGTCTTTTTATTTATTTACCACGAATATAGTGGTTTAAAAACTATTTACAGGAATATTGTGTTTTGAAAGGGGGAAGACAGCGACGGCGCCCGAGACTCAGAAAATTGGATTTTGAAGGGAGAAAGAGGCGATGGCGCCCGAGTCCAAGGCGTTGGCGCTATTTGAAATTTTTGAAAATTTCAAATAGCGCCAACGCCTTGGACTCAGGCGCCGTCGCTATAAACCTTTTCTTTCTTATCCCCTTCTTCGCCACTCCCTCTCGCCTCTCGCCAGAGCCACACACACTCCCCTCCTCCCTCACCTCCCAGACAGCGACGACGCCAAAAAGAGAGCGGCGACGCCGAGAAGAAGAAGGCGGCCCCGCTCACTCCCCGACGAAGGCGCCTAAACAAAAGCGTCGTCGCAGCAGATCTGCTTCTCACCATGTCCGACGACGAGCAGCAGGTGCCCGGCAGAGGAAGGGGTCGAGGGCGGCGAGGGGGTCGCGGCGGCGACGAGCGCTACAGGAGTAAGTTGGCGGTGGTCGGATTCTCGCCGGCAGCGGCAATTTTTTTTATGTTCTAATTTTTTCCCCAGTTCCTAGGCTTATCGATCCCTGTTCGATGAGACCACCACCTGCGACAATCGATACAGCTTCGGTGGACCCAAAACTTCTTTGGGGGCATGGTCACCATCGTATTGACGCAGTTTGGGCAAATGAGGTAAGTTTTCAAACTATTTCTATAGTTTTTTATTAGCTAAATAATATAATAGAATATAATTAAATTAAATTACGAATATAATTAAATTAAATTACGAGTATATTAGAATAATTTTAGTTTAGATATATAAATATAACGTTTAGGTCAATTGAAGGAATTGAATTAATATAAGTTTTGTGCATTAATTATAGGCTGGTGATCGCTCTTACCACATTCGTCATACGGGCAATTTAGTGCGATACCATCCACTTTACCTGTCGTATCTCGCCGATGCCGGCTTGTCTAGTGTTCTGCCACTAGCCCCTCTTACCGGTGATCCGGGTTTGATTACTGCGCTCGTAGAGCGTTGGCGACCCGAGACATCGACCTTCCACATGCCGTTCGGTGAGGTGACGATCACCCTAAAGGACGTTGCGACACTGACCGGTCTAGCGATCGACGGTGATGCCGTCGTAGTAGACATACCAGACGAGGACTCCTTTATACTTCCCAGTAAGAAATGTTCTTCTAGCCATCAAATGAGCTCGCCATGAGTAGCACTCCTTTATACTTCCCAGTAAGAAATGTTCCATCAACAACCATGACACCTGGACAATTCTTGAATCCATCCATACAAGGTCCATAAGCCCAAAATACTCGCTGAAATATCGAATGACATGGTTGAGTCGAAGGAACTCTTACCCAATCAATCACTGATGTTGGCATTTTTCTCTTGACCACCCGCAATAATGTTTGCAAAAAATCGTAGGATTATTCCCAATTTCCATGCAACTTCTCCAATGCTCTTTGTTTCCCATACCAAGCCTTCTTGTAAGTAACTTGCATATTAAACTTATCTTTCAACTCGGCCTGCACAGTTAGAACACTCAAATTTTGTTGAACACGTACCAAGTGTTTCACGGACTCAGATATAACGTCGATATCAAAATGGCGATGACCCGTCGGTTGAGTCGTACTGCTACAAGTATGCACCAACTCGGCCTTTCTCACGCTCCAATCGTCTCCCACATCTCGACATCCAAACCGCACCATCCAAGGACATTTGTCCTCCTTGTGCATCAAACATATGATCTTCCATATTGAAGGTGACGACTCCACCACGTTATAGTGAAAGTTGCGTTGTAGTGCATAGTGTTTAATCGCCACCTGTGCAGCTTGTTTCGAGTGAAATGTTTGCCCCTTGTAAAATTCTCCATCAAAACCACCAACAATAGACCCTGGAATTACGCCATATGAATCAGCATATGATAATTCCTCGTCCTCTTCATTACTCTGCAAGTAAAAATATGGAGGATAATTAGGTTGTTCTCCTCCCTCCCCGTCGTCGTCGTCGTCCTCCTCCTCCTCCTCCTCATCATCATCGTCCTCCTCCTCCTCTCCGTCATCACCGTCATCATAGTCATGATCGAATGGCATGCTCCAGGTGTCATCTTCTTCCTCTCCACCCCGATCCTCACTGAGCTCAGCATGTATCTCAGCACCCAAACAATAAGGATTTTGTGCCATAAAATTCCAAAGCACATTTAAGCTATCATCATCGACAATAGGCATTGCATATTGAAATAAAACACCATTCTGCCATTCTAGAAGACAGTAAGTGAAACCTGTAATCACAACACTATCTTGTACTGTTTCGTCTCTACGCCGTATTCTCCGAATTAGATTATCACAAAGTTTCTGATAATTCACCCAGGATGGAATAGTCATATGAAAACTTACACCACCAACAAAATGGACACCCAAATTGTCCTCTACTTTCTCTGATTTCCACCGTACAGCTAGTTCAAATCTTCTAAAACCACTACATAAAAAACAAACTCACTAATTACTAACTAGACAAAATCATTATGATGAATACATGAAAAAAATAAATACGACTCTTACCTATTATTAGCCATCTTCCCAGCAACCAGACAGCAACACCAGAGCTTCTTTCGAAACTTCTTTTAGTTTTTTGGTGGTGAAGAACCGACGGAAAGGTGCAGTATATATGGTGATGGGTGGTGCTGCAGTGGAAGAAAATGGCAGCGACAAAGCCCCAGTCTCAGTCTGGGGCGCCACCGCTTTTACATATTTTTAAGAGACAAAGTCCCAGTCTGGGGCGGCGACGCTTTCACAATTTTAAAACGCCAAAAGCCCCAATCTCGGACGCCGCCGCTGGATTTTCTTGATAAAACAGCACCTAGCGGCCGCGCCTGAGTCTAAGGCTTTAGCGCTTTATACATACCAAAAAACACAATATTCTTGTAAATAGTTTATAAAACACCATATTCGTGCTAAATAAAAAAAACAATATTTATGGAATTTACCCCATAGACATCCTCTCTTCAATAGGCAAATAGGGTTGTGCTCAACTCATGCCTACGTCCTTCTTACCATCCCATATGTCTCGTCCTGTGAAAGAAACATGTCAGGAAGGCTTCAGTATCAAAAGCAGCCAGTCTGCCTCTGCCAGGGTAGTTTCCCATCAAACCCCTTTTTTCTTATTTTGGTACCAACATTGGACATTGTACCCAGCCAAATATAGAACTAGCTTTTTACACACCCAAAACTTTTACATCAAGACCATAACTCTGTGCATTAAAGCAGTGAAGTGGAGAGCCATAATAGTGAAAGTAGGCTCAAACCACCCCCCCACTCTCCTAGTCTCCTTTGTTTCTCTGATTTTCAGGATGAATCACATTCATGGGGAGGCTTGCATATTTTTCCTATTACAGGCTCTTGCAAAAACATCTTGCTTTGATATTGGACATGGTGGTGTTTCTTCCTCACGCGGTGGCAACTGCTTCGGGGGAGGTAGTTTCGGCAAGTAGGCGTTCCTCTGCTTCCTCCAGTCGCTGCAGCCATTTCAGCCCGAGATCACAACCTGCATTTGCTGCTGCTTCGAACTGTTGTTTCGCCAGCTCTACTGGGTCCGTTGAGGAGCTTTCCTTGGTCTTCGCTCTCCTGCCCGGGGTTCCTCGTTTCACTTGTAGTCTTGTGATAGCTTCTGGTACTTGTTCGCCTGGGGGGACATAGATTAGATAGGTTATCAATAGGTTTTGTAACAATGTTCTAAGACACTTAAAATGCTCTCTAATAAGATCCGAAAGCAATGTAGAGCAGTAAGGAGTCCACTGACCTCTAAGAAGTAGAGATCCATATGCTATTGCTGCACCAGCATGTCCCTGCCAATAAATCATGATTGGGAGAAGTTGTGATTCATTTGGGTTGTTGAAAGATCTTCTAAGAACTTTGAGCAATATACAATTCTAGTCAATAGCAGCTTAACGTACAATACAAAAAAATTGGCAAGCAAACCAAATTTCCCATGTTAAATGTTCATATTGGAAGAGGAATCTCTGGAAGGGAAGGTCAGTGCAAGTGCAGTTCAAATTAGAGGGAGCTGAGAAAAGAAAGGGATGCTGGTTGGCTGGTTTACACTGGAGAAACTTCATTGAGATTCTCATTTCTTCCAAGTGTAATGAAGTTGTCAGTTGACACCTTTAATCACAAGAGTAGCTTAAAAGAAACATTCATTGAGGGATTTGGCAGTTGGCAGACTTGTTAAGATCTTTCAATCAGCTCTGAACATCCAGTCTATTTTCTACAGCTCTGATAAACCACATAGCAACTAGGCAGCCTACTTTCTGCAGCACTCACAATTAATGGCCGCAACCACTTTACTAAGAAGAAAAAAATCTCACCTTCTCTGATGCTCGATGAAAACACCAAATAGCTGAGGCAACATCTTTCTTCACACAATCTCCAGTCAAATACACAGCACCTAGGAGGTATAAAGCGCCTGGATGTAACTATCCCAGATAAAAAGAAGAGGAAAGGATTAGCAACAAGGGAAGCATTGTTGTTCAGTATCTAATTCTAATCACAGAATAAAAATACCTGGTCCACGGCCTTCTCCAAATAAAAGAAAGCTTGTTGATCCGATTGAACCCAGTCATTCTATCAATAAGGGGGCAAAGAAAGCCAATATAAGAATGAGAATAAGCAAATTGAGTAGTAGGATCCACAGCCACCATGAACCATGACAGAAAAAAAAAAAAAAAAAAAAAACTTAAGTCCAGGGCCTTACTACAACAGCTTCTACTTAAATGATTACACCAACTGTTTATCTAGTTGTACGATCGAGTTCTGCAAAGATATAATAACCTGTTGTTGAGTTTTGAAAGAAGTGCCACTGGTGTTACTGTTTTGCTTGCTGTTTAGTATAAATACAACATTCAAGTAGCAATGCCTTTCCAGTATAGTGTTTACTCTTCTTTCAGCAAATGATACCTAACTAAAATAACTTGCGGAATCGGTAAAAGAGGTCTAACCTCCACTCGCAGGTGACAACCCAAGTCATATTGAGCATCTGGATCACCCATCTCTGCAGCTTCCACTAACAAAGCAGCTCCTCTATGCCATAGAAACAAGACAATCACAAGCAGGAAACAGTCACCAAAAGTTGAAAACGCCATAGCCAACTACTAACATGGTTATTCAAACATAGGATGGTCACTTTAAAAGACCAGCAGTAGCAAAGAACTAAGTAGAAATGATCTGAATCGCTATCAAACAAGAAAATTGATTACAAGAGCATGAATTGCACCGGAGTTGCTAACTACAAACTATATTACTGCACTCGTGAACTCCTAAGTTCAGTAAGAATAAGGTGAAAGAGAAAGGGACTGACTCACATAGCTTTACAAGCACCAGGAACATGATACTTCATATGCAACTTAGACAGCCAATATCTAGCATGCGTATTGGAATTATCAGCCTCCAACGCCAGCTCGAAGTTCTCCTTAGCAGTCTGACAATCAACAAACACAATTTCTAAACCATCAAAACCTAACCTAGAACTACCAATCCGTACACAGAAAAAAAAACCAGTTCATGGCTACAGACGAAGAGCCTTACTCTGAGGTGAGGGATGAGGCGATGGTCATTCAGCTCGCAGAAATCGATGACTCTGTCCACTTCCTTCAATGCGTTCCAGCCTTTGGCTATGAACTCCATCGCCTTCTTGTTCCTGCTGTGGAGCTCCCTCTGCAGAAACGAAAGTGAAATGTTGGGCAAGAAACGAAATAACGAGAGAGTGAGTGGGGGGAATTTTGCTTACATGAGGAGTGTAAGACTGGAGACGACGGAGAGAGGAAAGATTCACAGCGAGACTCTTCGACGATAATCTCAACATCTTTCTTGCCGACGGGCGAGTCTCCGAGCGCGATATCGCCGGCGGAGAGAAGGAAAGGGATTCTGTTGCTACCGGGTTTCTGGGGTGGAAACGAGTCGGGCTTAGCTGCTCGGTGTATGGAACATAATTGGGCTTGGAGCAGACCATGGCCCAATCAGAAACCGGAGAATCTAGGCCCATTGCTCTAAATTATTGCTAACAAATGGGAAGGCAGTTGATTTCGTGCAAGATAGAAATTGCGTGAATCGTAGAACGTAGACTAACGAAAGGAATGTGCGTATTATAATTATCAAAAACTACTATTTCCTCGATTGCGTCGGTCACATAACTTCCTCCTTCTCTTTTCTTTATTCTCCGCCAACAACGACACCTTCGAACCAACCTTTGTCTATTCACACCGTAACAAACTAAAGTTGGGTTCATATCGGAAGACACAATTTGCGAATGAATGTGGTGTCAATTTCGTAAATGAAATTTCACCGCATTTATCTATCGATCATGAAATACACAATATATAATTTGACGACACTCAGCATTGTAAACAACTTGTTACAAATAAAATGTGAGCACCGTGATTGCATTGTATTCAACTCATATAAATGATCCATCGTAATTATATATGAACCAAAATTTCGGAGTAAATTTTTTTATAGTGGATATTTATAAACAATATCGACTCAGCCCAATCACGACTTCCGCGTTTCTCAAAACGAAACTCATTTCTCTCTTTCATATTTTCTCGTGCTGCCCGCCCGGTTTAACTGGAACGAATCAATCCTGCCCGCCCCCCTGCAAAATCGGATAGTTCCCACTTCCCACCACCACCAAAGGCTGACCGCTGTAAAAAAAGACGAAATGGGAGCTCCAGAAAAGATCTGCACCGCCATGGAACTCGCCGACCACGAAGCTAGAGACAATGGCTGCTGCGGCTCCGATGAGATTCCTTCTTCTTCGTGCACTGTCGACCCCCAACTCACCGTCGCCGATGCCTCTCCGCGCGTCATGTACGTTCCCCTTCTCCTCCCCTGGCCGCCGTTCTTCTAGCTTTAGATTGAATTCACCGTCTCCGAGCGCGTTCCTGTTTGTTTGCCTAGAAAATGTTTAATTTATAGCTGCTGCTGGGGCATTGACATTTGACCAGCTTACTAAATTTTGCGTGAAAAAACACCATTGCTAGTATTTCTCCTGGCTGTGGAGCTCGTGGTATCTTTTTTTTTTCCCTGATTTTTACTTTGTTGTTGGGTTTGGCAGCGGATTGTGCAAGGATTTATTTAAGAAATGGTCAGAATTGGATGAATCTTGCTTCACAGTTGAGAGAGTTTCCGGCGGTATAACCAATCTGTGTGAGTCTATCTCCTCCTCCATCTTCTTCTTGGTTTCGTAAATATTGTGAGATTGTTGTTAGGCGGTTTAGTTGGACTACTATGATTGCTTCATTTGGTGGTGATCGTTTCAGATGGCTTGGTCTTGATGGTTCACTGTCTAACAGTGAGATTATTGTTAATTCTGCAGTGCTGAAGGTGTCTGTAAAGGAAGTAAATGGAGAAGAGAGTGCTATAACAGTCAGATTGTATGGCCCGAACACCGATTATGTCATCAACCGTGAGCGCGAGTTGCAGGTTGGTACATCTTTTGCTTGCCTAAACTCGTTCTGAGTTTGCTGCTGTGACGAGTTACACTCAAATTGATGAAATGTTATGTGGACATCATTTAGTTGAATGGTTTTGCTAAGAACAAAACTTTGTTTCCAGAGATTGGATAATTGAAGGGGTAGTCTAGTGGCTCTCAGCCTTTACTGGACGTGGGTCTGTAACTATGTGATTTGTGGAATTTTTTTTCATTTAGACTGCGTTGGGTTCTTCTACTGCCTGTATTATTACATGGTAGCTTACCACAACTATGTTCAGGCTATTAAATACCTATCAGCTGCGGGATTTGGTGCCAAATTGCTAGGAGTATTTGGGAATGGGATGGTGCAGTCCTTCATCAACGCACGTACGCTAACTCCAGCAGGTCAGGAAGATTGAATCACGTTCTTTAAATGATGAAACCTTCAGTGGTTTTCCTATCTTACCATTGGTGATCTCATATGAATGAAATTAACCTCGCCTACTTAGTATGTTGGCATCTGAACGAGATTTGATTTTTCTGCCAAGTAATTGATCTTGTATGTTCTTTATCAACTTCACAGTTATCAACTCACCCAACAGTTAATTGTCTGGAGAGCATTGGCCAAGTTGAAGGTCCCAGATGTGCTTTTTGATCTATGACCTGTTGTGTAAAGCTTTTGTCTTCATTTGTTTTTATTTTGATTCTATATAATTGCAGACATGAGGGTGCCAAAGTTAGCTGCTGAAATTGCGAAGGAACTCCGCAGGTTCCATGCTGTGGAAATTCCAGGCTCTAAGGAACCTCAGTTATGGAATGAGATATTCAAGTTCTATGAAAGTGGTACTATTCAAGTCCATGTTCAATTGCTTATCGGAAGAAAAGGCTACAACCTTTTTCATCTTCAGCATTTTGTTTTGTGCTTATACTTTTCTTATTTAATTACCATTTTCTGTTCCAGCCTCGGGTCTGCAATTTGATGATGCCGAGAAACAAAGAAAGTATAACACAATCTCTTTTAAAGAAGTTTATGGTGAAATCATTGAAATCAAGGTAATTATTGTTGCTGTGTGACTATGGCTTGGGGCTGCAAAGTGGCCTGCTCTTCCAGCTGGATGTTATAGGGCTGCCTTTTAGTCTTCCATAATCTGATGTCTCAGTTACAATGTTGATTGTTTAATTTCAACTTAAGGCTGTAGTATTGTCTTTCTAGTGTTCGAGTTTAGTTTACTTGTGTTCAAGGGCTTCACTTGGTAACTAATTGACATTAACCACCAAGCTAGTAAGCATGCAGTCGCAGACCACTGCTGGAGGGGGAAAGGGTTTATAGTTTGAGAACTTTCGAGAAGGAAAGGAAAAGAGTTCATAAATTGTGCATGGTAGTGCATGCGAATTATAGTATAGGAAACGGTGTTTCATGGTGAGTTCTAACATGTATAGTAACCTTGAAAAGTCTGTGAGGTCATTCTGAAGTACTTGATTTTATTTTTGATACTACCACATGAAAATCGAATGGTTGGAGTCAGCCATGAGTCTGCAGGTGCTGTTTTTATCCCTGATTTGTGAACTGATCATAATTCTCAGTCTGCTGAAAACAAAAGGGTCCAATATTTGTGCGTTCCTTGAAATACCAATCTAAATACTGTGGTAACTTCTTAATCTTGACATTTCTTCTTCCACAATCAAACAGGAATTGACAGGCCGTTTAAATTCTCCAGTGGTTTTCGCTCACAATGACTTGCTTTCTGGGAACCTGATGGTTAATGATGATGAAGGTATGCATTCGTGAAGAGCAGGTTTGCCTTTCTGTGATTAGTTACATCAGATAACATTTGGTTAGACAGTCATTTCCAACTCAGGATTCTGCGTTTACTGTTGATCTTTATGTTCTGTTTTTGTGAACTCCCAGAGAAGCTCTACTTGATAGATTTTGAGTACGGATCATACAGTTACAGAGGCTTCGACATCGGGAATCACTTCAATGAGTATGCAGGATATGATTGCGACTACTCATTGTACGCTTCCATCTCCTTGCCTCCTTTCCCTGATACCAGCAGTGATTCTACAAATGACCAATCCTTTCTGATCCATTTAAATAATGGTAAATATGTAGGTACCCTAGTAAAGAAGAACAGGATCTTTTCTTCAGCCATTACTTACAACCTGATAAGCCAGATGAGGTAATTGTTGGGAAATATGGACGTCAAATCATTCTAATTCTCTCGACGCAACAATCTTATACTTCTTGAACCAACAGGTATCGTCAAAGGAGCTCGAAGTGCTTTACATAGAGTCAAACACCTTCATGCTGGCTTCACACTTATTCTGGGCCCTGTGGGCGCTAATACAGGTGAGAGCTTCTGATGGAAACGACCTACTGGAATTCAATAACTCTATGATCCATGCATACTACCAAGTACCAACCATTCTCGTTCGTTTCTATCTTTATCTGCAGGCGAAGATGTCTCCCATCGATTTCGATTACCTAGGCTACTTCTTCCTGCGTTACAATGAGTACAGATCGAAGAAGGAAGCGAACTGTTCGTTGGCCCGATCTTACCTCTCAGGATTGCACAAATCCTAGTTTCTTGTTTCGTCAGTATTTCGCCTTGTACTCTCACAAGAATGCTAGTTAGGGAGGGAAGTATGGTCTGCTTGCTTCCGCCGTTGGATTGTTGTTTGTGAAATATTGATTTTGTTAGCAGTCAAAGGAAGAAGATAATACCCAGGACAAGCACAACTGGAACGTGAAAGGCAAGACAGTTTCTTAATGTTGTTGTGTTCAAAGTTTGATTGCCTCCCCTCTGCTGCAGCAATGCTCTGAACTCTGTTTTTATTTTTTATATAAATAATAATAATAGCTCTGTATTTTATCTTCCCTTTGAGCAACAAACGAGCAAAATGAAGCGGTTGAACCAAAAAACAAAAAAAAAAAAAATGGTTGAATTAATTTTATAATGATCTGTTAAAAGTTTTCTTATTTATCTTATAAAGATATAAGATAGTATAGTCAAATTTACTAAAAACAGAGCAATACCAAACCTCTTGATAAAAATTTTATTTATAAGATCAAAAGTATGTCATTTAAAAGTATGTCATCGCCTATTGACGATTATTTGTGTCATGATAACACTTTCAGATTGGTACTATTAGAAATGTTAGTCGTCATGAAAACTATATTAAGTGAACGACGAATTAGGGATGGCAATGAGTTGGGTCGGAGATGGATAGTGCATATCCATTATCCTACCCAAATTAGTTCGGGTTTTACTCATACCCATACCCGCATAAGAAACGGGTAGAAAATTCAAACCGTGCCCATACCCGTTCGGGTTTCGTGTATCCACGGTTATCCATGGGTAATAGTTTCTCTTTATAACTCCAACCAATATATTAATATTCACACGTATTCTCAAGTTACGCAAGACGAAAGGAACGACAATAACTCACTAGAATGAAGAGAATTATTTAAAGCAACACAATTTCATAAAAATATTATATTTATATGCTAAATATAAAATATATTAGAGAAAATATTGATTATTTCCAGACAAAATACATATGCATGTGTATAATCGGGCGGATCAGGTTGGATAGTGAGAAAATCATGCCCACCCATTACCCGCAATATTCGGGTTCGGGTTTTACTCGTACCCACTAAAAGTCATTCGGATTCTGGTTTTACTCTACCCGATTAGTTCGAATTCGAGCGAATATCCATGATACGGATATTTTTGTCATCCCTACGACGACTACATAAACAATGAGATGTCATTAATGGGTAAATTGCAAGGTTGGTCACTAGAAGTGATAAAATATTCACGTTTGGTCACTACAAAATTTTTATTCCATTCATGGTCACTGAAAGTGATTAACATTTCACGATTAGTCACTCTCCGTTAGTCTCCACTAACACCGTTAGTGATTTGCTGACGTGGCAATCAGAAATGCTGATTCATCCAATTTTAATTTGCCACGCCATTAAACCCGACCCGCCAAGTCAATTTTACCAATCAGATTCCCGCAACCCATGACCCGACCCTCTTATTAACCCGCCCAACCTAAAACTCCATTGGCCCAAATGATAACCCCATTCCAAACCACCCTCCCAGGTCCCTTCTTCTCCGCCGCCATTGACCTCTATTCCCTGCTGTCGCCATCGATCATCACAATGGGATTCAACAACACCAGCGCCAACCCCATATTTGCCAGGCCTTCAAGAGCAGCATCCCGATGTGTATTCCCCTCGACGTCTCCAGGGGGGAGATTATACAGTCGTGTATTTTTTAGTTCGGTAGCATTGAAGATCTAGATTCCTAGATCTAGAAACCCGTCAATAACAGAGCTGGGAACTAAAGCGGAAGCTACGAAAAAAGGCGGAGTCTCTAAACAAGAGGCTGGCAAGAGATGCGGCCGAGGAGAGGAGCGAGTAGGAAGCGCTTGAAAGGGTTTGCGAGAACTTGGCCAGGAAAGTGTCGGCGGACGCCGCGAAGGTGGACCAGATGAGGAGAGAGATGGAGGAGGATAGGAAGATGGCGGAGGTGCTCAGGCAAGAGAGAGTCCATGAGAAGGGAATTGAGGAGCATTGGGTTGGGAGGGAACAATGGTGAAGCTCCTCCGACACCCCTGGCAATGATGTGTCATGGGTGCTTTCCAAGCTGCTGTCGGGGATTTGCCGAGTAAATGTAAGAAGCTGATTATCGGCGGTGACAAGTGGTGGTGGGATGAGGTTGGTCGAGGCTGCTAGGACAAGGGAATCGCTGGTGGCAGTGGGGTTGGGACGATTGAGAATCTACAGCTACGAGGAATCAAAGGTTTCAGGTTGGGTTAGGGGTTGAAATTGTAAAATTGTATTTTCATTTTTAATTTTTAACTGCCACATCACTCATTTAATGGTCAACTCTTAAAGTTGACTATCACATCAGTTAAACTTAACGGAGACTAACAGAGAGTGACCAAACGTGAAACGTTTAATCACTTTTAGTGACCACGAATGGAATAAAATACTTTTAATGACCAAACGTGTATTTTTTAGTACTCCAATGACCAACCTTGCAATTTATCCTGTCATGGGGATTGCTATTCGTCGCCCTAAAAATGTTTATTTGTCACCCTAATTATATTAAATTTACTCTAATACCCTTAGTTGTTAAATTTTACTCGGTACTTGTCAAGCACCATACAGGTTGAAAACCCGTCGCTAGGGAGATCGGGACAGGTCGGCATCCTATTTTTGGTCGCCGGCGACAGGCTGGGGGATCCCGACACGTTTCCTTAGTTGTTAAATTTTACCCGCTACTTGTTAAATTTACTCCAACCTAACCGACATCTTCGACAAATCAGGATTTAGCATCTCGGCCGGGAAATCCCGACACATTCCCAGTCCGCTATACTGCTTCCTCGTCTGGTGGAACTCTATCCTCCGTTGCATTATCGCGGCAGTAACAAACGATTAAGTGGACACAATGAAAATCTCTGCCGCCGCCAACGGATCCATCTTTCTCGACCACCAGTGCCTCGCTCCTCTGCTCCACCACTACCAAAATCTCCATTTGGATTTACCCCAAATTATTACCCCAATCGATCCCGCAAATTAATTCAATGCACGTCGTCATCAATCTCCATGATGTAAGCAGAATTCGGGAATCCAAACCTGCTCACGAATCAGAATACGAAGCTCTCACTTTTTAGGGGTTTTCTGAGATTTTCTCAAGAACACAAAAATAAAAGGATAGTGATGACTTGATATATACACATGTTTTTGTCCACCATTCCTATACCGTTTGAGTCTCATCTCTCGTGTTTAAGGCTGATTTCACGCTAGGTTGTTCTTGTTTGTGATATTTCAGGTCCTAGTACGTGAAGTAAGGTTTGGGCACGAGTTAGGGGTCGATTGGACGAAGTTGGGACGTTTGACGAAAAGCTGGAAATTCCATACGGGCATACCTAAATTCCACACGGCCGTGTGATTTGGCCGTGTGGAACCCCTTTGCGTGGGCAAGCCACACTGGCCGTGTGGAATTCACAAAGAGTTCGCACGAGCATACCTAAATTCCACACGGCCGTGTGGTTTTGGCCGTGTAGCGTACCTGGAGTCACTAAATCGAACGCGGCGTTTTGGAGAGCCACACAGGCATACCTAAATTTCACACGGCCATGTAGTCTGGCCGTGTGATCCGGCAAAACTGGATTTTTTACCCAATTTTGGGTCTTTTGAAGGGGGGATCGATTTTCAGAGCTAGAAAAAGAGTCATAGAGAGATAAAGTGTGAAGAACACACCCTAGAGGTGATTTTGGAGCTGGGTTTCATCAATCAAGCTTGGATTTCATCCTTAGAGTGAAGATTATCATCCCGGAGCAGATTCTTCCCATCATGATGAGTATGGCTGCTTTGTATTCTGTTTCCCTCTCTCTCTATGGAGTAGAACCCTCTCTCACTTGGGTATGAAGAACCCTAGTTCCATGTGTTAGGGATATCGATTGTAATGACGTTTGGATTGTGATACTGCTTGATTATAATCGATTGAAGTGTTTTGATTGAGTCAATTGAAGCCTTATCATCTTTTATTGATTTCTGCTGCAACCTGAGATAGACAGAATCTGATTAGGTTGTTAGAGCTTCTTCAATCGGTAGTAGTGAATCGATTATACGAGAGTTAGTCGATTCACTGCTTTGTACTGGAATCCAATTCCAGTAGTGGAGTTCTGTGTTAACTACCTCAGCGTTCTATCCTGGTGAAGACTAGTCGTCTGCCTAGTAGTCTGTCTGAGAGGGCTTGGTCAGCTTAAGAGATTCCAAACTACTATCGGATCTTCCGCAGTTTAATCAACAGTAAATCAACAAAAGGTAATTACAACTTTGACCTAACTAAGGAGCTAGGGGGACTCATTCCCGAGTGACTCTTCCCCTGCTTAAGAACTTCGAACCATTTCCTGCTTTCTTACTGCTTTAGCTTAAAATCACATTCACTCACTTAGTCTGTTAGATAATAGATAATCACGGAGTAGGCAGTAGATCTAGACCCCGGATTGATAAATAAAACTTGCCACTATTCTGCATTTTCGGACTGCGATTACACTTGGTCGTAGTTTGGTGTTGTGTTTTAGCGTGTCAAGTTCTTGGCGCCGTTGCCGGGGACTTCTAGGTTATTGTGGAAACGTGAAAGTTTGTTCCACCTTTGTGCTTTCATAGGTTGTGTTTGCACTCTGTGTGTAGGTAGTGCATAGCCCGTAGCCAGTCAGGAGACTTACTGCCATTAGACCAAGAGCTTGAACGGACCTGCAGGAACTTCAAGCGAGCTCTAAAGGCGCGACTAGCTGCGGAGGAGGCTCTAGCACAGTTGAAGATCAACCAAGAGGAAGACATGAATGAACCTTAAAACAACGATGTGGTCATCCCGAATGAGCACACCATGGGATATTTGATAGATCATTGATTGCACATGTTTTTACCCCTATTCTTGAGCCGTTTGAGATGTTGATTCTCGTGTTTTAAGCCGATTTCACGCTAGGTTGTGTGTTTATGTCATATCTCATAGCTTGGCGTTGGCATCGAGGCGAAGAAACGAGTTTCGGGTCGAAAGGAGCACGTTTGAGTTGAAGTGTGCTGGAGGAGCAAAATACCTGGCCATGAGCAAAAATACTCGGCCGGGTATTAATCCGAGCAGACCGGGGAAAATCACTTTTGGGCGTTTCAGAAGCAAAAGGGGGCCCGGGCATTGAGCATAAATCCTCGGTCCGGTATTCTTGACCTTGACCGGGGATTAATCCCTTGTCCTCGACGGTGCGTTTCAACAATCCCCGGTCGCCACCTAAAATACCCGACCAGGTATTCTGACTGGGGATCGCGAACGCAGGCTGTTAAAAGCCTGTTTTGTGTGTTTTTGCAAGGGGGGGGGGGGAGCTGGGTTTGGATCCCAAACACCCAATGGACGAACCAAAGAGAGAGAGAGGGTGATTTGAGGGCATTCTTGGAGTGGAACTGGAGGATTTTTTCGCCTTGGAAGC